TAAAAAAAAAAAAAAAAAAAAATTTTTTTTTGTTTATTATTTAAAGTTGTTTCAATTAAAGCGTGAAATTCGTATTGTTACTTTAGAAAAATGAATTTATTAACATTCATTTTTTATTTCAGAAATGAAATTTGTTAACACATTTATTTATTTTAGAAATAAACTCGTTAACATACTTTAAAAATGAATCCGCTAATATATATATTTTTTTACTTTAGAAATGAACTCGTAATGAATTTGTTAACACATTTATTTTTTACTTTAGAAATGAACTCGAAATGGATTCGTTAATACATTATAAATTTATAACTACTTAAATAAACCATATGGAATCTTTTAAAAAAGTCGTAAAAAAAAAAAAAAAAATTTAAATGAAAAAAATTTTTATGCGTCATATGCGTCAATGCGTGACAGCGTAATACGCGTACGTTTTTCAACAGTACTTACTGCTGATACATCGATTATCGCTAATCGTTTATCATTTTAATAAAAATTTTATGAATTCAAAAATTTTTAATATCATTACGTCATAAACCCTGACTTTCACGGATCCGCCGGCCCAATCATATTCCCATTCCCGACAAGTCACTAATCTCGATTTACCGGGATTTAATAATAAAATATAATACAGTAATAGTTATTCTAATAATTTAACCCGCTGATATCCAAAGATTCCAGATGGAATATTCTTCAACTGTAAGCCTGTTTGCAACCATATTAATGGTTTTTCTTGATGAAATATAAATAACATTTTTCCGCAAATGAAAGTCCAAACTTTATGATATTACGAGCAAATACGATTCTTCAAATAATAACATTACAATTTCTCTTACGCCCAATAATATTTCTTATGACGCCTCAAATAAACTATTCCCTTCTTTGACAATAGGATTTCGTTATTAAAAATATTCCGGTATCCTGTTTGATAAACAAACGTATGTGTAACGTGTATGTTTCGTTTGTGTTTTAATATTTATCTTTAACTTTATTTAGTTATCTAAAATTTATTTATTCAGTTAAAACAATTTGTTATTTATCGTGCATGATCTATTTGATAGGATTTGACCCTGAAAATCGGTAAATAAATGAGCATTCGATTTATTTATTATTTATTATTATTATTATCATTCGATAGGAATCATAGGATGATCACACAACCCCCCTTTTCACTTTTGAAATTATCCTTTTTTTTATTTTATATACCAATTTTTAGTTAATTCAAAAAAAAGTTAATTCATATAAAAATGAGCTGTTTATATGATTCGATAATTGAAATCATAAATCCAAATATGGGATTATTCATATTTATTTATTCCCGATGATTTAAAAAATTAGTATTGTTCATTTTGAAAAACATTTTAGATTTTTAAGATAAAAAGTTTTTTTTTTTTTTTTTACATATTTACTATTTAAGGGTTAAATTAATAGAAATTTCGAAACATGAAAACATGAAAGAAATGATTTCCTTAAAAAAAATTTGTTTGTACTTTTTATTCGTGCACATTTTTCGTCTTTTTCAAGATTAAACTTCGGTATAACAAACCTCCAGTTGGGAAATTTTGGATCTTGATAATTTCTGTAACATACAATAATATACTTATTATATATCTTACTATATATAGTATCATATATTATTGTATAAAGATCTATCCGATATAAAGTTTTGACCAGGCGTGATCTGCGTGTCATAGTGCTGCCCGAATTCTATCCCAGCATTATGTGGTATATGTGATATTGGTTTTTTTTTGATCGACCTCATAAAACAAAATATTATATCTGAAAACTCCGTCGGTAACGAATCTTTTCTCATGCTAAAATCTCTATATACTATACTTAATTTCTAATACCAATCATTCGACCTGTGACAAATTATAAGATTTGATTTACAATCTTTTTTACTGTATTGAAGAGCTTGCTTTCGATATTCCAAAGCTGTATCTAAAATTCATTGTAATCTTTCAGCAAAGAAGATGAATATTATGGTACTCATTTTAGGGTAGGATTCTTCTTATATGATGAATCTTACCTGATCTGATTGTAAAAAAAACAATCAAATGTTTTTATGATAAAAAATAATTTGTAACAAAAACGTATTCAACGTAGTTTCTAAAAAAAAAAAACTGTCATTATATGCAATGTTAAAATTTTTGATTAATGTGCCATTACAAATAAAATGAATCTACACCAATAATCATGTGATTTGATCTCCTGATGATGCTAGCTTATAAATATCTAATCATCCGACATTCACTATCAAAAATTCTCCTTTTAAACTGGATTTATATTCCATGTTTTGAATTTATTAGATTTGTTGATCACTTGGAGTTTTTACAGAAAATATGAAATATTACAATATTCTTTACACCAAAATTGGTGATGGATCAAACAATTTGGTAGATCTTTTTTATTCGGTTAAGGAAAAGAAAAACGGAGGAAGGCATGGAAGTAGAAACTGAAAGAAAGGAAATCTTGACTACGGGACAGTTTATTTTCCATCCTGAAAATTGACTAAATGGTATCATTAAATTCGTGAAAGAGACCACGGTGACCTTTTGCGAAGTCCGCCATCATGAGATTAGTATATAAGTACTAGCTGGTATATGAGGAAACTATTGAAGATTTCTGGAAAATACAAATCATCTACAGTAACCGTGCTCAATATCTATTGAGATTGCGATTTTCTCTTACCAAAGGTCATGTTGACTTATGTTATATATTTTGGATTTCTATTCATTTGTTATAAAGATAAATAAGATCATTTTATAGCTGAAAAACTGAAGAAGCTTTAGCAATGATGAATCATATCTTGCTTTGCCATTAAGGTGAAGGTTCACGTGATTTTATTTGATCAATAGTTGGAATCCAACTGATGAAGAGACTAAATTTATTCGTAACATATTACTTTCCAATCAGGTTGGAAGTGTCGACTATAGCACAGATTGTTTTTTCAATAATTTTATTAGGTCAGGACTCAGGACTTGCCATGGTGGATTCTGGAAAAATACAGCTCACTGTCCCCATCTTTCAAACTGTTAATCCCAAAGGATACATCAGTAAGTCTTAACGTTGATGCTACATTTTGCGTGGAAGATTTTTTGTTAATAGCAATTATTGTTGAAAATTGAGCGGGTAATCATTTGAGAGAGCATGCAGAAAGATTTGTGAATAGTGGTAAATATGTTGGATTCCAATGAAGAATTGGGCTTTGTGATGTTATCAAAAAGAAGTAAGAGAATTAAAAACAAATTTTTGGTACGTGCTTTATTCGAATGATTATAAAAGTGTTACTATCAAGCGTAATGGCCAACAGGACAAAATTTTTTATTTGAAAGGTGATACATGTGACTTCATTGTAAATTTTATTGCATAATAAATTATCCATAAATATCAAATCGTCCAATAAATTTTAAAATAACGTGATGAAAAACTTTCGCTAGATTTGTTATAAAAGAAATTCACATCATTTAAAAATTAAAATACAGCAACTTTTATAATCACAAATTTATTATGTGATATAGTACATTATAAAAGTATTTTTAAAAGATTATTTAAAATATTAAAAAGACTAAATTTTCTTTCTTACTTTTTGAAATATTCCGCAAGCAAGATTTTCTGTCAATCATAAAAACAATGATCAATGTTAATTGATTCGATTAAGAACACTATATTATATATTACGATATTAATGAATCAATTAATTATATTAATTATAATAATAATAATTGTAAATTGAATCATCATTTTTCAACTAACCTTTAATAATAACGTGATCTACTGTAATGTTTGCAACCGTTCACAACTTATGTTTTCACTTGATTTACGGTTTTGGTATGGTCGAACTTGGATTATAACTTGCAACCTAAGTTGGGATCCGAAATGTCTTAATTATTACTTAATGTATTATGTACATCTCGTCATCTCGTTATTAATTTTAAATCTAAACCGATATTTTAGGTTATACTAGTATTATTTTGGCCAGAACTTTAACGCATATGGGCGGATTTGGCTCACTTGATCGGAATGTCGATCATTTTGCCCAAAATTAACGTTAATTTTAGCCAAAAAAAATGATCAACACAGTGTGGATTTGGCAGAAGTTATAAAATTATGAATTTTTGCGCCATCTTAATTCCGGTCGGAAACAAATTATAACTGGCCTACATTATGGTCTACTAATGACCATAATTTGATATACCGATCTTTTTCTCAAAACAACAGTGTATATCGAAGTTTAGCTGTACAAATTACATCAATAATCTTATACACAACTAATGTACGTAATAAAAAAACATAATTTTTAAAGTGAAAAAAGCATGACAAATTTCATAGGAATATTCTTTGTCGCGATCTGATCCATTTCCCGAAGTAAACTTTCTGAATGCTTGTTTTCCCGAACTGGATTATTTTCCGAAATTCCAATTTCCCAAATGCCAATTCCTTGAATTCCAATTTCCTGAAGTCCAATTTCCCGAATGCCAATTCCTTGAATTCCAATTTCCTGAAGTCCAATTTCTCGAATCCCAATTTCCAACATCTAAAATTCTAAACTATACTTTTTTATAATTTACTACATAATATATGAAAAAATAATAAGGATTAAGGAAATTATTGCGTCAAGAATTTTATTTTCAAGTTATTAAATCTATGTAATTACTGTATACACCAACAATAATTACTACGCAGTAGCAGCAGGTGATCTTTTTTTTTTTATGGTTCTCACGTAAAAAACGTTTACGCACATATTTGGATTATTATTTTATATTTATTTTATTTTATTTTAAATTTTGTCGTTTGATCAAAATGGAATGAAACCTAAAATTATGAGAAAATATTTAAGGAATTAATTAATTTTTTTTTTGTCACTATAATTTATTATAATAAATATAAATAAAATCTATTCTAAAAAAAAAAAAAGAAAATTTTTATTAAATCCAGTAAAAATGTCCATTTAGAATATTAATATGGGAAATTGGAGTTTCGGGAAATGATCCAGTTATTCCAGTTAAATTCAAGAAGAAATGGCCAATCGGAAAAATTGACTTCAGGAAATGACATGTACAGGAAAATAGCAATCGAGAAATCATACTGTAAACCAGGGAGAGTATGTGTATTTAAGCTAAAAACTAAATTTACATTATCGAAAGTCGTCTTTTATTCCTTTTATAACATACTGTAAAACAAAATTACAACTTATCAAATTGTACAACGTACTATCCGAAATTAATAAAAAAATAAACCAGTATGCGGGTGTTTCATGATTTCTTCGATTATTTTTTTAATGTTGCAAAAATATTTTTATTCAAGAAGAGTAGTAACATTGCAAGACTAAAATAGTACTATAAAAAAGACGCGCATAATACACTGTAAGTCCAGACTAAATGAAATTCATTCCAATCTATTCCGTAGAGATAAGCCAGGACCTCACCCTTCGAATTTTATTTTATTTTATTTATTTATTTTATTACTGAAAGAGTGGTAAACCCAGACTATTACAAATAAAAGAAGAAAGAGTTCGAAAAGACTTAAAACTAATATATGTGTATAGATCGTAGTTTGTCATCCCCTACGGGACCTCACTCTTCGATCTGTACTATTTGATAAAGTAGGACTACGCTAATAAATCAAATGGGAACCATAATAAAAACCATCCGAGAGACTAGCAGCAACTATCTAAAAAAAAGAAAAGTTAAGGGCGAGTAATATAGTCTAACTTTATCTACAGTGTGTGACGAGCGAAGAGGTTATATAGTGTAATAAAACAAATTGTGGTCAAAAGTAATAGAATCTATAAAGTTAGTTGATAAAGAATTGATCCATGGTAAGTTATGGCGGAAATTACTACTAGTTAAATAGATCCAAAATATAGAATCATCAAGATTTCTAATAGAAGTCATAAATGGATTAGTATATCCAACAGTTGTTATGTTATAATTAGTTCGGTCAATGAATGTCGAGTTTTCATCGTTGGTTCTACGTCATTTTTTTCGTTGTTTTTGTCATTTTAGAAAGGATTTTTTCGTTATACCATTAATTTTCTTATGTTCTTTCCATTTGATATTGCGAGCTTTCCATAGTTGATCATAAATATCATGATGTAGATCAAATAAAAATGAAAGAAGTGATTTTTTGATTAACTTTTTATGAATTTTGGCATCTTTCAACGGTAATAAGAGACAATTCGGGACTAGATTAATCAGGAGGCAATGTAAATCTGGTGCATCATGAATCAAATTGATAGGGGAATTGAAAGAAGTAAATATAGGGATATCAAAATTGATAGCATTAATATTGATCTTTTCTTTATCCATGTTGTTAATAATGTGTGATCAAAATTTCTGTTCATGGATTCTAAATATGGATTTCAAAATATCTATCGACTTTGGACAAGTCCAAAAATGTTCATTAGATTCTGCAGTAGAGGAACATAAAAAACATGTGTCGTATCCATTAAGGATATCCGGGTAATTTCGATTAAGAGCGTCCAGCGTAGGTAAGGCATAATTTGAACATTTGATACGCCAACCAACGTGTTTACTATACGATTCACTCATGGCTTTTTGAAAGGGGTTATGATTAATCCATAATTGTGAAAACTCCCAGTTGATGATATGATTGGTGATGAATGATTTGAGTACATGTAAAGGTTTGAGTGAAATTTGACGTGTCTCTTATACACATCTAGATGTGTATAAGAGACAGATACGATTCACTCATGGCTTTTTGAAAGGGGTTATGATTAATCCATAATTGTGAAAACTCCCAGTTGATGATATGATTGGTGATGAATGATTTGAGTACATGTAAAGGTTTGAGTGAAATTTGACGTTCTATGTGACGGAAATTAAGCGGTTTCTTTAATATTTTCCTGATATTATGATCAATGATAGTATCATTGTTAAACATGATATAACCTTTTTGTGCTTTGACGCCCTTTGGTGAAATTGAAATCATCTTATTGGAATCACATCCGTTTTTGGCCAATCTATCGGCAATATCGTTATATTCGACTCCTGAATGTGCCTTTACTTTCGTGAATTGTACCTGTAAATTCAACTCAGCTATAATTTGTTGGATTGCCTGCCAGAGAATGATATTATTAATCTTTTGCTTTCGTTTTGGTGTTAACTTATAATTCGATAACGATGTGAAAGTATCGATCATACATTGACTATCTGTAAAAATGTTAATTGAACTATTAGATGGACAAACTATAAGGCATGTTAATACTGCCATAATTTCAGCTCTAGTAGAACTGGGCCATTGCGTAGTTGCACCAGAAAATTTTATATTTAAACTAGTATCCGAAGTAAATATCCACCCAAAACCCATTCGGGGATTATCATCATCAATTTTTAAAGAACCATCAGTATAAAATTCTACTAAATTTGTGAAAGAAGCTAAATTATTAATTAAAATATAAAATTCATTAAAGATATCATTAGGTAATAATAAACCATTCACTAATCTATGATTAACTGTCTCTTATACACATCTAGATGTGTATAAGAGACAGGATATCATTAGGTAATAATAAACCATTCACTAATCTATGATTAATGTTAGAAGGGATATATAAACGAGGGGAAAAGTATCTGCACGTAATTCACTGTCAGACTTATGTACAATAAAAATGTTATTAAATAGATTATTATCTTTTTTGAATATATTCACGTGTAAAGTGATTGTAAAATTAGAAAAATAACTAATAATGCACTTGGGACGAACGTCACCAATATAGAATGAATCATGAAGATCACAACCAGTGCAAGGTGTAAGTAAATTAGGTGTGGAGTGAGGAGTTATGTTATGATTAGGATTAGACATATCTTTGAACGGAATATGATGTTCTAAATAGACCTTTGGTGAATCTCCAGGAAAGTGTGATTTTTCCAAAATTTTTCCATAAACTATACATGAAACTCGTGGCGACCAGAAAGCTGCCCATTGATTTTTACAAGGAACGCTATGATTATTACACTTAATTATTTTAGGTCGTGGAAATCCGAGATCAGGTGACATATTATCAGATTGAGTCGTAAATTGTAAACGATTTGTTGAAGGATTTAATACGATATTATCTTTAAGAAAATCATACCATTTAGGTCGACGCCCTCGATTATTTTTTAATAATTTCTTGATCTCTTTCCAAGTTTTAAGAAAAGCACCATCGTTACTAATTATTTGATCCAAGAAGAAAATATTCTTGTTCTTGAGTGATTTAACAAAACCAAAATATTTTTTGGGGTCAACGATAAAATAACTAATAGGATGTAAACCACCAGTAACATTATATTTAAAATTTGTATAAAAGGATAAGTTATAGAAATGGAAAATGCATAATAAATTTTCAAAACGGTTAAAATGTTTAGAAGGTTTGTGAAAATATTTAGTCGTTTCACTTATATCATTTGTCCAAAGTTTACATTGTGATGTTAAAAAAAGGAATTCTATAACTTTTGACGTGACTGGGTTATTAATTTGTGCATTTAATAAAGATGCTTGGGAACGCAATTGTGAATCCCAAATATTCAAAATATTGGGGTATATCGAATTATGTACCACTGAATTAAAAAAAGATTTTGGTAATGATAAGGAGTGTTTAAAAATTGAGCGTAAAATTCTATTGAATTCATTACATTTGTTTGGTTCAATAAAAATGTGTTGCGTTAAATATTCTATCCTCGGTAATAGCACCTTATTAATAATATACATCACGTGATCATGCGTGATTTTTTTCATACAAAGTTTGAAACAAATATAATGTAACATTTTTTTGATCTTGTTGTAAGTAAATGATGGTGAATTAGCTATATTGACGTGGATGCCTAAAATACGTTCATCTTTTCTCTTTGGAACAATTTCAATTTCTACGAGATCATTACCAAATTGTAAATTGTATCTATGGTTCGGTTGTTTCAAGAGGTCCTCATCGTTGGTTAATAATTTTGTTTTTTCTTTATTGATCTTAATATTCGCAAGTGAGTAGAAATCATCTGCTATCTTCAAATTGTTTTCTAAATTGTTGAGAGTATCAGAAAACCATGTTGTTAACCAATTAATTTTACTTCAATATTTTCTTCGTGATGTTCATCTAATCGATGAATATTCATTGGTAAAGATGCTTTAAGGTGATAACCTGAATGAGGGGACGAGTTGATTTTAGCGAACATTGCTCACCCTTCGAAATAATGTTGCAAAAATATATATGTGTGTATCATCGGAATCACGTGATCATATAATAATAAGCTCTAAGTAGTGTATCATAAATAGCAAAAAGTGAAGACAATCAAATAAACAATTCTTTCACATTGTTTTAACCTCCCCCTTTTGTATTATTGGCTAAGTCATTCTATAATATTCTTTGGAGAACGAAAATATGCAATTTGCTCTAAACGACGAATGGAATAACAGAAGCATGGAAACTCTAAATATTTGAAAGATTGTCAAAGGTAATTTTTAAAGTTTCTAGTAATTCTTTAATCATATAATTTGACCAAAACCAAAAGTAACCATATTTAAAGTTTATCGGACTGGCTTTATGAGGGATTTTCTTTATTGAATCAATAAATTATAAATTTAATCATGTGATTATGGAATGTACTACTGTATCAAAGAACTTCTCAAAAATAGAAAATAAAAAAAAAATTAAAAAATCGAAGGCTAAAACTATCAGAATAATGAGAATAATGATCACAAGTTGATGTAAAAGGAATTATTTTGGCGAATTTTTTGAATGATTCAAATAAGTATAAACTTGCTAAAGCTGATTTTTAATATCTGAATTAGAGACAGGCAAAATAATAATGTTTGTCTGAGGAGAATTAATATTAATCCTAAGTGAATTAAGCAAAGGAAAGACATTTGGCTTGGGTGAATTTTTGATATATTGTGAGTAGAATTGCGCGTTAGTATCATCGTTGTTAGAAATGTCATTGAACGTGGATTGCGAAGGAGAAATAGTAGGATTATCGTTTGGTGGATTATATTGCTGGTGATCAGGTTCCGGAGAAATACTTGTAGGTGTAGGATAATTATCACGGTTGTTCGTCACGTTGTTAGAAGAGTTATTAACTGCCAAAAGATGTCCCGTTTGAATATCAGAAGTTTGCGGTATATCATTAGAATTGCGAGATAAGCCCAGCGAGTTCACGAGGGACGAGATGCTAGGAATATTTTTATTGTTATCCATGGTTTATTTGAATAATGTGATGATATTTGAATTTTGAATTTATAAATTGTTGGAATGATTGATGCAGGAATTTTTCATCAGAAGTTTTTATATTGATAAACACGTCACAAGATCGAGTCATCTTGTACACCATAAAACTTTTTTTTTTTGTCTAGTTTTGTGTAGCTAATTTTAGAAAACAATACTTAAAGCGTAACTAAACGCAACTAATTATATTATTCTAGTATAAATAACTCATGAAACGTAACCACGGATTGTAAATGACACGTAGCGATATCTAAAAGCGTGTTCTTCGGTAACCTTTAGCGCCAATTTTTTTTAATTATCGTTATTACGTAATGTAAATTTTTAGTTACCGAGAATGTACTTCTCATAATATCTAATGTTTTTTATAATAGTTTTTTTCGATGAAATTAATCAATTCATTTACATCGTTATTTCGAGAGATTTTTAAATTTTAACGCTAAATGATCTCTCTATATCGACACAAACCAATCAAAATGACAAATTTGTAGCAGAAATATTAGCCGAAGCCAATAAAAAAATTGGAATCTATTACTCAATTTAAACTTGTAGTCATTGTGCAATATAAGATACCGTATATACGAGATATGCAGTACCGGTACGTTAAATTCACGTTAGTATTACGCACTATCTCTTTTACCAAAACATTGTATATCATTTCAATAACAATTTGTAACCGAGTATCAAAGGTTATATATTATTATTATTATTATTTTATTAGTAGAGCTACTATTAAAAAAATCGTAAACGAGATAAAATATGATTAATTATGTGGAATCTACACTATATCATCATAAGAAACAACTACCTTCAGTTATTATTAGTCATAATGTTTCAGAAAGGTATAATATATATACTGTACAGTGTATTAATGATTAGCCAATGATTGTAGATTTAGCTTACTATTTAATTTAATTAAATTTACTAAATGATATTGTAAACGTGAGCGAAGGAATATTGGGAATATTGAAAATTAAATATCAAATATTATAATCAGAAATATGGATCTTTATTATTCACTATAATCACGTAATTAGTATAAAACTGAAACTATTTCAATATACGTAATTTGGAGCCCTAATCCGGTGTAGGACTTGAGCCTGTCATTAAGACGTTTGCCACCTCAAGCTACAAAAAAAAAATTATGAAAATTCCCGAGTTATAAAATAAAAATAAAAGAAAGAAAATAATTTCTAAATCTATTATGAAATGATTCGTTAATTATTGCTACCCTTCGTGATCCACTCAGATTCAATTACCCACATGTTCAATTGTTGCACACTAAGAAACGTATCCGACGTTAACATCTTTCCGCTTGAAATTCTCAAAGATGAAAGTGGAAAATTTGTCAAGATAAATAATCAAAGAATTAGTATAAACAAGTTAACAGAAGTTGATGATTCTGTCAGACTTTGAAATTTTGGAAAGTTAAAAATTACATTTACCGAAAATGACGTTGTGGGAAGCTTAAAGAAAATGAAATAAAACCCCAAAATCTGTATATTGAATATTTTTAAACCGAATAATGAATTTACAGCGAACACCACCGCCATCACCATCACTCCACCATTAGTAAGCGTCTCCCAATGTTTTCGCACAGTAAGTCCTACTCACTTTTGGTACTACCTATGAGGGTATCCGATCAAAATCTCGACAATCCAAAATCCTGACAAGTCATTATATCGACAATTTTGTGATGTGTGTTCTAATAAAATAATTTGTTGCAATATGTAATATTTAGTTTAAATGTGTGATAATTTTGTCAGGATTTTGACTTGTCAAGATATTGGATTGTCGAGATTTTGTTGTCGGTCGCTCAAATGATTTTCGAGATTTCGTACCAAAACCACCTATGAGTACCTCGTTAGTATAATTTCAATAGTTTTTAATAGTAGAATATTTCAAATTATTATCTGTTATTGAAAGAATTATTTGCAAGCAAATTAATTATTTTCAGATAAACGAGAAAAAATGTGGAACATCAAAAATTATGTTGCCAAGTAATTCAAAGGAGATCAATCATCAATGTTCTTTTATTTTTTACCATTATGATAAACTTCGGTCATTGCATCTAAAAAAAAAAAAAAAAATTACAATATAAATTAAATTGCTTCTTTAAAAATAAAAGATACACTGTATACGGAATTTTTACATACATGTTAACCACCTAATTTTGTTATATACTACGTTTAACAAGTTTAAATTTAATTTACTTAAAATTTAGAAAAAATTTTATTAACCATTTTTTTTTGTGCATAATAGTATCGTTAAAAATTTACGTTCACTAAAATTATTGTATCGTGTAATAATATTATCGCCAAAACTTTGATTGATTCAATTGACCCTAAAAACTTTAAGGTATTGTTTCAAAGAATAACTTAGAAGCAAACAAGAATCATTTTTTTGTACTCTATTTATAATCAAAATAAACGATTAACATAATAAAGAAATTTACAGTGCATTATTTAAAGAATTGAAAATCGAAAATTTACTAATGATCGACATTAATTTGCACCGAAATCTTTTTTACAGATCACGAATTAATAGAAATTTTAATATCTATGTGACCATAAACAATTTGGTTGCTTGTTCAGTTTGAATAACTGTTGAAATTGTTGCGGCAAAATAAAACATAAGCGCGACACGATAAATCTCCCTTTTAATTGTTGCTGTTTTACTTATTTATATAGGGACGAATTTTTTAGATTATCCGATTATTCGATATTTTATTTAACTTGGGTCAATTAGATACTGTATTATACTGCGGGATAGAGATGATTTAAATTTAGTGCCAGTAACACCCGAAATGATTCCTCAATCACGTGACATACGTTTTTAAAATAAATGCAGGTGAAACTTATACGTGCTCGTGCATAATGCGGGCCAATTGCAGAATTTTTTGAGTGAGTTGCTACTGTATGATCTACAGACTACAGTACGTTGGACATACTACATAATTTTGATAATACTTAACCAATAGCTTATAGCAACAATTAAAAGTTCATAACCTAAACTTTAAAAATTATTGGTTAATTTCCTTTTAAAAAAATATTGATCAAGTTTTAGCATTTTAAATATTAATAATTTAATTATACTATCTAAATTTGAGACTATATAATTTTTATATAACAAGCCAGCATTAAGCATCGGGAAAATTAATCATGTATCAAATAAAGGTGACAAATAAGATTTTAAACCGAAAAAAATGAAAGGAGGGGTATGACACTGGAAACAGGTATAAGTCACGTAAATAATTTTCTGGAAATACTGAGAATTAACATCAAAGCGATATTTTTGTACTTTATTATATTTCATAAAGTGAATAGTTGTCAGTTGAATCACATGATTAATAGTGTCGGCCGAAATTATGCAATTCCGGCCAGCACTATTTTTCTAAATTACGGTCGATTTTTGTCCCCACACTTTGATCTTTCATGCTTAATGGACTTTGTAATTTGTATTATTATTTCATGATGCTAGAAATAACGGAATCGAAAGTCTTCTACCTTATACAGTATGATATAGTTATTATCTGATCATAGCAATCAAAGACAACAAGATTTGAAGTTGACTCGAAAAATTATCTGGTCATTTGTCGTTGCCATTTAGTCATTTGATTTTTTTTATTGATTATTTCATTTGTCATATTCCAAAGATAATAAACATAATGTCAATGTAAAAAATATTTCTAAAAGAAAATTTTTCAATCAAAATTAATAATTCGAACGTTACGCATATTATTATTAGGTAATATTAATATAATATGTAAACATACTAATTTTTGCATTTCTATAAAAAAAAATATTCATAAAATATTTAATTTATTAAGATCTTAAATTGAATATGCTTGATTTTTTAAGAAGACTGCAGCAGTATAATAGTAGTGGTACCGCAGCATTGATACGTTACGTCGTTACGTTAAGGAAAGAATATCTACCGATATATGATATGCCAGATCCACCAATTTAAATTTATTTTTTAAAACGTAATTCCATTGAAAAATTGATTTATAAATGGATCATTTACAGATTGTTGAGGAAGATTTATTAACCTCAAATTATAGATACTTGTATTTCGTTGTCTTACATATCGATTTCGCCTTCTTTGTTTAATCTTTCGTGATCCATATGTTTCCACATTATTAGTGAAGTGAGTAAGCAATTTTGAAGATCTGTTATCGTGTATATAGGTATTGTTTTTATGGAAAAGTTTTGAATATTTTCCTACTTTAAAAAATTAAAAACAATCGGTTTGATATTAAATAACATCATACCTTAAGGAACTTCCTTGAGCATTCAAAATATTGATATGATCACCATTTTGATCACACTTATAATAATTTTCACTGTTTATTTCATTCCTATTATAAGGATAAGTATTCGCTCTTCTTGATTGTCTTCTATTTGAAGATGGTGACCGTCTTGATTGTTCATTCTTCAATGATTGTACGATATTCATTTTTGATTGCAAAATTTTTTTCAAAAAAGGTGTGAAGAGGTACAAAAAAAAAAAAGCTTCTAATATAATATTTAGGTTTATTAAAAATTTTTTTTTTTTTTTTTTTAACTTTGATTAAATTCTTTTGTAAAAATAGGGTTTTTATACTTTTTGCTACATCACAAATGTGTAACAAATGTGTAAAATCGGTATTGATTTTTTGTGTTGATCACATGAATTTACAACTCTTTGACTCTAATTGGGCCGGAATTTTGTTCAATTACTTTAATAAAAAAAATTAGTTCTTTGGAATTCAAACTTAGTTATTGTTGGATACAAGCATTGTTTTGTGTGAATATTTATTTGGATAATAAATTATTACTTTCTTTGTCGGAAGATATCCGATTCATAAATAAGTCCGCTAAATCTATTTTGGAAATGATCGATAAAGACGGTAAAAACAATCAGGAAATGATCGGTAAAGACGGTAAAATCAATCAGGTAAAGACGATAAAATCAATCATCTATATGTAAAGTCAAAATCGGCATTCAAAACCTTCTTCAAAATCCTAAGTAAACTTGCAGAGCAGGTGAAATTACAACTGCATTATAAGTTTAAAAGCTTTTGTGCCAAAGAAAAAAATCCTTAACGCCCTTTTTTTTGAAATTGTCGCGCCACGAACCTGGCACACAAAAAAGGAGTGCGTACAAACGTCAGTTTTATTTTTAGATACCGATCTCTTTCAAATTTGAGATCATTTACTATTTAATTAATAAATATTTTTAAATATGTTAATCCGTGTTTTATATTTCCATGTTTTTTCCGTGAAATGTGGAATTTATAGTCTTAAATCATGGCATGGGTATCCGTGAATGTATTATTTCACAGAATTTTTACGAAAGTCACGGAGGAATAATGGTATAAAATACATTATATATTTTTTAAATAAATAAATATTATATAAGAAAAGTAAAAATTACTTTTTAATATTAAAATGACATTCTAAACCGAAAGGAATATTATATCTAACGCAACTGTTTTTTTTATAGCCACCCTTGAACGAATGATATTTGGGAATTGGTATTAGTTGAAGTAACTTTGATCTAGGAGGAAATTTGACAGGATTATATATTGAATTTTCGATCTTTCTCTGAATCATGACTTATTACGTGAAGATTAACAGAGAGGAAATGAAATAACTCTATATTGTTCCCTTTTGAAAGTAAATCTTTCGTTGGCATTAGCTAATCCTTCAATTAATTGATAAACAAACATAGATAAATTACTTGTACGGAGTAATTTATCTTTTAGAAAGCACATATTCTATTTATGTCAAAGTAATGTTGATTATGTTCTCGAAAACAAACAATAGTTGGATAAAATATTTCGACACTAAAACATTTCTTGCAATTAAATTTAAATGTATCCATATCAATAGAAGCATTACCGAGTTGAGGAGAGCATCAAATAGTGATGTAATAAATTAATCTTCTATTTTTATTCAGAGGTTACGGTTTAAGGTTAGGGTATATTATTGGCTATGTCATGTGCCCGAGTTTTTTTCGCTGAGTTTCAAAAAATTAATACGCTGGCTTAAATACACCTTATTGGTTTATTGTAATTATTATATGTTAATAATATAAAAGAACCATAAAAAATCACATAATCAGAAAAATTCATAATGATAGAAGAATTCAAGGATAATAAAAAAGAATTGCAAAGATTACAAGAGACATCACGAAAAAAATGATGATGAAGAAAACACTGCAAAAAATGAAAATCACAAACTGAAAAGAACGAAGGAAGCACCACAAAAATAATGAAAGAAGTACAATAAAATGAGAAAAAAATAAAAATACCAAAGAAAACCCTATAGTTAGTGTTATTTTAAAAACAAAAAAGAATGACGAAAATAATAAAACATAAGAAAGAAATACGTTGATAGTCAGGACTGTTCCAATGAAGTTGTTTAAAGATTATTCTAAAGAAAAGAGGAAAACAACATTAGCAAAAAAAATGGAGAAATTTATATTAAAAAGCTAGCCAATAAAAATTTAATATTAATCACGTGATTAGAGCTATACGTCGATTATTAATTCAGAATTTTTAAATATGCCATATATTCATAAATGCATGCTCATTAATGCTGCAAATATTGATTTTTTGATAAATATTTAAATGGGGTTTTTTTTGTATCGCATAAATCTTTCTATTTTGCGGTATTTGAATTACGGCATTACGCATAAGCTCCATATGTCTTAATTAATTCCGACGACAAGCGTCTGCGTAAAATTATATATATGTTATTGATATAACTCTGAGTTAGAGAGATATAAAATTTGAGCACAACACATTATTAAACAACCATTCTAACTTAATTCAAAATTTTATTTTAAAATATCTTTACTTATGAGTCTTCTTAAACGAAAGAATTTAGAAGAAATATTTCGAAAATTCTTAGATCTAAAGTCAAAAAAGGAATAAAAAAAAGAAATAAAAAACTAGCTAAAAGAATAACAAATGTTTGGTAATAAATATTCATACAACTCATTAAACTGACATACCTTGGTTGGGAACCATGTAAATGAGTTGGGATGGATTTTTAAGTTTTAGCGCGAATAAAATTATTTTTTTCAATCGAACTGCATACTTACCTAATATGAAATCTCTCATTTGTTGAATCAATTTGGCACTGCGCAAAAGAAACCAAACACGCCCATATGAATATTACAATTACGTAAGTAAGTACAATTATGAAAAATTCTAATATCTCAAATAAGTATAATAGCATGAAAATTAATACTTGAGTAGTGGTTACATATCTGTTTAACCATTATTTTATCAAAATGCCGAAATTATCTGTAAAGTTTTAAAAAAGCAATATTGCTATATCTGCTAGAAAATTATTTATTAATACAAAGAAAAATAAAGAATAAAAGACAAGAAAAAGGAAAGAGAATGAAATAAATATTACATATCTCAAGCCTTGAGCTACATTTCAGATCACATGAATATAAATTTTCGCTGCCCGAAATAAAAACATTGAGATCTAGTAAATGTTAAGCAAATCCGTATATTTAACGTAAATATAGCCCTCCTACTAATAGTAAAACTCACTATAAAGGAGTATTTGCTGTCAAGAATTCGATTTTTCAAATAAAAATGAAAGTTCGTTAATTGGAAAATGCGTAAACATGAGATTTTTGACCTATAGACGTATGAAAAAATGGTCGAAAGGATCGTTAAATTCATCTTTGAACATTTTGTTAGAATTACAATAACATTTCGACAAAATAATTACCAAGCCTAAAAACTCATTCTTGGAAAAATGTAACTAAATCAAAGAAGGACCGTTTTCAAGAGAGGCACTCAAAGTAAAGTAAAATCGTGATTAATAATAAACATATATAGATTTTGACTATATCATCTTGAATATTTTCATACATTTATAAGTTCATTATTTGCATATCTAAGAATATGAAGAAAAAGTATCCAATATTACAAGAATTTTTAGGCATAATTTTGTACAGATTTGTTTACATTACAGGACTCAAACCATTTAATTCCCGATACAAATCTACAATCTAACTTCTATACTTACGTACGTTAAGTTTGCGCCTAAGTTTTGACAAGAAATGTTATTAAATATTTTCACAGTGAACGAAAACAATAAGTTGAAAAATTATTTGATACAATCCAATAATAAACATCTTACTTAAGTTGGGGTATTGGTGGTAGTTCAGCTAATCGGGATTATAAGTTAGAATTTAGGAATGAAAAAAAAAAAGAAATTGCAGCGTGTGCCTTTATCTAAAAAGAAAAATTAAAATTTTTTTAAAATTATTTATCATAAAATGTGTATGGTTTATGCTACACAACAAAGTGTGACTTTAACATTGTCATTCGGTGATATAAGTTTTTAATATGATACAAATAAATTATGACATATTACAACATATAAATTTATTAAGCATACAAAATATCTTATCATATATATATATTTTTTTTGGGGGGGTATAAGCTTAACGTTAACGTTAAGATTTTCTTAGAATCTTAGAAGCCATTCATCAAGGGATAAAAAAAACAACGAAATAGCGAATTTTAAACTATAGAAAAAAATGTATAGAAAAAAAAATATGTTCGACATGTTCGATAAATGTTGAAAAAACTTTAACGAAGCCATTCAAAATTACGTTCGAGCGAATAGCTTAACACTGAAAAAAATACGAATTATTTACGAATTAGATATATATATATATATCTCGAATACAAAACGATTTCGCAATATATATATATCTCGAATACAAAACGATTTCGCAAAAAAAAAAAAAAAAAAAAAAAAAATGGAACGTATTAACGAAAAAAATTTAACGAAATTCAAAACTGATTGTTAAAATTACTCCAGCATGTTTCGCATAAACATGAATCGATAGGATAAGGATATATTGGCATTTCGAAGTCAGTTTGTATATAGTCATCAAAAAATTGATAAGGAAGAGGATCAAAATAAAAAACTGGAGTATAATCTTGATTAACCAGTAAATGATTTTCGGTAACGAATGGACTTAATGGAGACGGGTGTTGCGGGTGTTGCGGATGTAGTGGTTGCAGGGGCTGTGGATTAGAAAAGAGTGGAAAGAGTGGAATGTCCATTTCAGATGGCGAATCTTGTAGATCCTGAGACTCGTTTGGAAATTCAGTGATCATCACTAACTTTTCCTTCTGCCTTATTTCCTTTAGGCGATCTTCTACTTGGTCAGACAAATTTTTATAAGCATCCCTCACTACAGCTGATTCATTATGCCACAACGAGCTGATATGACCTGATATCTTCGTCATGGGCACATTATCATTAGTTCGTTTCCTCAGCTCCTTAAGAAATGCGATCCTGTAAATTAGGTATCGATTGGGAGCTCTCGACTTAAGTTTATCATCTGACCTAGTTGCTAAGATCTCTTCCACCGTCACTTCTGGTGGAAATGGTACTTTAAAGAACGGAACTTCGTATTTGGTCGATTTTTTATTACTCATTTCCAAAAATTATCTCGTATTGTTAAGAACTATGGAAATGAAATGGAGGGTAGACCTATTGTATTTATATGTTTTTGATTAGCTTTATCTTTATTTTTTTTCTCTTTTAGGAGTTAAATTCCGGTTATGCTTATAATGTAAAAAACATAAATTGTATATAAATAGTTAATTATAAATCAATGTAAAAAAAAAGAAAAAAGTGAAAATCTCTTTAAATGGAAATTACAAATGTCAAGATCAACTAAAAGATTTCACGCATAAAATTTTTGTTTTAATTTACAAAAGAAGTTAAATTTACATGGACACATGGATAAATTTATTTCCGTCCTCGAAATTTGATAAACTAAATTTTTTTTTAAAAAAATAAAAATAAAAAATCGCACCATCCAAAATTCAGTTTAGACAAATAATAATATATATATAATAATCACAGCTTAAAATACATTAATATTTAATTATTAAAGTCCCTTGAATTGTGAAATTAAATATAATTAATATCTATGTCACATAATATATTTATTTAATGTAAGATTCAAAAATTTATGACCGGGGACAGTCACACCGATAATCTAGTTTTTTTTACATATAAATAAAAGAAAACATATATATAAACAAATGATCAATTGATAAAATACTGTCCCTTATTGATTCTTTTTGATAAATCTAGTTCTAAAAAGGTATAAAAAAAATGTGTAATAGTTATATCTAAAAAGTAAATAATAAATAATCGCCATTTAATTGTTCATTCATTGGTAAAAAAAAAAAATTCGGAGAGTTATGTTACAGAATATCAAATCTTTTAAAGGTATAAAATAAGTATGCACATATGAAATTATTAAGAAAATATGTCTAAAATGTAAATTTATTACTTTGTGATGGATAATGTTTTTACGTGTAATCCGGTTTATTATGATTAATTGGATACGCCATATGCAAAAAAAATTGAACAGATGACAATCGTACAACCCAACTTGGTGTCCCCCTGTTCACTAGTATTGTATATTTATCAATCTGACTTTGATAACGTATCTCATAATCTATTAATCAGATTCATTATGTTTACTAAATTGGCAAAAATAAATTATAACTCAAATCCGGTATTCTTTCTTCGTTTTCATTTTCTAGAATATTTTATTGTAAGACTGTGTTAACACATTTAAAGAAAGATTAAATCTATACTTAGAATGTTTTCAATTTTTCAACATTTAAACAAAAAAAGCGAACTGAACCCTCATAATTGAATCACATGTCATGTTATTTTAACCGTAATCGATTGTGATACAATTGTGAAGATCTTTCATTGGACAGCAGCCAGATCTTAGTTTTCGATCAAAATTGGTTCTCCGTTTATATTCGTATTGTTTTTCTATATCCTGACAACTAATAATTAATATTCGAGTGACTCGGCATTTACCGTCATATATTTTTGACATTACAATGATTTTAATGTCATTTGATTCCATTCTATGCATGAATAATTGTTACCGATTATAGTTGATATAATGGAAGTATCGCTGTCATTATAGGGAATACAATTCAAAGAACTTTCACTTTTTTCAGTTAACAGTGGTTAAATTTCAGACGATACACAAAATACGTAAGATACTTTTCTCTTCATTTCCAAATTATCCACAATATCATGTGTTTTAATTTACCCTTTTTACTTTCAAAACTTATTGTGCACAAGAAATTTAGTTAGTTCATTTTTTCTTTACTTTCATGTATCAAATTTATTTATACATAAATAACTTCAAAATTTGTATCTTTCTTTGAACAATTAGAATTCTAAAAAGTAAATTTTGGCTTTGAATCAGAAATACATTTTGGCGTAACGGATTAAATTTTCATGGTACCCAATAATTATATTGTTCTGTATCTGTTTCATTTAAAATGATATCTCACACAATGTTAACATAAAAATATAATGAAATGAGGCTTCTGCGTATAATGAAAAAAAAATGATAAAAAAATGTAGCACAAACACGATAAAAAAAAAGGAGATTAACAATTAGGGCAAAAGCAAAAGGATTATATAATTCTGAAATGTAACTCCGCGTAAAAATTTAATTTTATTCTAACATGCATTTTCACACAATTTTAAGTAATTTTTCAAGGTATTAGATTAAATTTATTGCTTTATTATTCTTTTTAAGTCTAGTATTTCTTTTTATTTTTACGAATATAGGTTATAAGTAATAACTTAAAATCATTCACTAAAATACGTAGGTTAAAAATAACATTTTAATTCTTTTTAATTGAAATTTATAAACGTTTAAAAGTGTAAATTGTAAATGATGCGCGTCAACTGCATGAAATTGAAATTGATCGTCAAAAGCACCAATTTTAGGCTAATTCAAATTATACCTTATACCTTTTATGAGCAATGCTAATGATAGCTTTTTGTTGCATATTTATTCTTATTCTTTATACTATAAACCTTTTTAGTAATTAAATTTTTTCTGTTTTCTATTTAGACGCTTTTTAAAAAACATTTGAAAAAAAATATTTTTTTTTTCTGCCAATCATTTTATTTCCCGCTATTTTAATAAACGTACGTCCCAAAAAAAAAAATGTCGGAATTCGTTTTCCGTGCATATGGTTAATATTATTTGTCAAAACCCATTATTTTACTTCACATGCCATACTCGATACACTTCCCAAATAAGAATCTACAACCAAATTTCCAGAATTTTCGTTTAAAAAAGATGACTTAGCATTACTTGGCAGATCATGTGTGCATATAAGCCATATGGCCATATGTATACTTCGTGAATCTCCTAAAACCCGTAAATAGAATTAATCAAAGCGAAATTATTAAAATTTTATGTGTAATTTCATCACTAGAATCCGCAAGTGCCCCAAGTAAAACATAAAAACGATCATATAAAAAAAAAAAATTTTTTGTAGTACGATATTTTTTGTATATGATGTCATTTCATACTTATAAACAGTAAAAATTCCTACCGAATATTAAATATTTTTATGTTGCGAATTTTTCAACAAAGAATTCATTTAACGATCCGACAATATTAATTATATGTTATTGTATAGGCGTGCTTGTTATTGATATGTGCCGATACCCGTGCAATAACAATATTTAATGATCATCATATTATTGAGCTTTTTTTAAAACTTTTCATACCCCTTTATATTTTATATTGGATCTGATATTTAATGATGCTAAGCGAAACCGAGACATAAAAGACGAAATGCCAAAATTCAATATTCCATAAAATTTCCATGGATTTTAATTATTTTTTAAAAAAGAATTTATAAAATTATTGTATATATAATATAATTTTATATATTTTATCCCTTAAACTGTTTTGCAGCCAAATTTGCCTGCAATTTTGTTTTTTAATTAAAGACACTTTTAAATATCTTATTACATAAACCAATGTTTTTGTAATAAAATCTATAGTATTTTCTAAGTAAAAATTGAAAAAAAAGTTCAATTTGATTAATGATTTTTTAAAAGTAAATGATCAACAAATTATAACAAATAGTAGCTAAATTTTTCAAATTGAAATATCTTTTTATCCATTAACCCTAGAAATGTAAAATTACCACCATTTGATGTGTCTTAATGAGAAGAATCTGATAGAAATAAAATTGTTCTTCTACAAATATTATGTAACAGGATAACTTATAAAATCTAAAAATTTATAAATTAATATAACTTTTTATCTATCAAACTTAGAGTTATGATTTTATTACCATTAAATGCGCCTTAATAAGAGGAATCTAATAAATATAATTTCATCTTTCTATGATCACTAGATCTTAAGATATTTTAAAAATTCAAAAATTTTTAAAATTAATTTTAACCCCTACAGTTTAAGGGATAATAAAATTATAATTTTTATATAACTAAAGTTAAAATTAAAAATTATTACTATATAGTTTAGTTAGTGACGAAACTGAAAAAAGAGTTTAGGCAGGCATCACTACTAATAATAGATTCAAATTTATACCATGTAATATAAAATCATGTAATCAAGCATGATGTGCTAAATATTGGTATAACATGGAAATTCCAAATGGATATAAATAAGAATAATTGTCAGTCAAAAACGAATTAGATTTTCCTTATATTAATTTTTTTTTTTTCTTAATACTTTCTGTATAGTTCTTTTACTTACTTTTATTTTATCAATAATTTTTAGAGATTTTTTGAATGCTTATTATTATGAAACATTTATTTGTTATTATACGTCTAACTATAATTCTTTCATTATGATTAAGTTAATTTACATGATCTTTTAATATTATTTAGAAATCTTCAAATTATCCTCAAGGTCATATTAACCTCGAAACTGAAGTTTATTTCTTTTATATATATTTGATTTAATTTTATATTGCCTACAATACTTTTTTTATACTATTATTATTTATTATACTTGTATATATATTTTTTATCTCTTCCATTCTCTGTTGAGAAATATCCGGCGGGTACCAAATAATTAGTTAAAATCACATTTTAAATAAAGTTCTAACCTCATTAAGGTTAGTTCAAATTATATAAGAAACTAGCTTTGACTTTCCCTGTAAAAAAATGTTGATCCGTGTTTTATATTCCCATGTTTTTTTGTGAATGTATCATTCTCACAGAATTTATAGCCTTAAATCATAGAAATTTTTCAGGATATCCGTGAATGTATCATTTTCACGGAATTTTACGAAAGTCACGGAGAAATAATGGAAATATTCGGATAAAAATTTTTATAGGGCTTTGATAGTAAAATACGAGAAACTAATAGTTGAAGAAATTTGAGGGCTTGTTGAAGATGGTGAAGTCATTTTTGAGGCCATAGTTAAAGCAATTTCTAAAATTAATAATTTTTTTTTTTTTTTTATTATGGGCAGGGTTTGAAGAGAAAGATGGTAAAAAAAATCATATCATTTACACTTCGAAGATTTTGTTAGTTCACAATCATTTTTAATGATAGTGATAACGGGACCTTACCTTTTCACTTTCATTACGAACAAAAATGGAAGCTTATTAGTTCATTAGTTTATCACAACAATTTTTCGTCCGAAAGGTGAAAAAAATGTTTTGTATCGAAACTACCAAAAAAGGATAAACTTTTCTATAATGGTAACGTTTAAGTTAACCATTTTTATATTTATTGTATAGGTCTCACCAAAGGATTTTTTAAAAAAAAGGAAAGAGCGAAAAGAATACTAGATATTAAGGAAGTCTTGTTTGTTTACGAGAATGTTATTTGTACAACAAATTATTATTTACCACATAACATTCGATCAGATGCTTCATCAACAAGTGCTTTTAGTGTCCGGAAAATCATGTTACGACACATGACAAATTGTTTGTTTGCTCCGCCGATAAAAAACGTTTGTCAACAGTGAAAGAAACAAAAATTTGGAGTTATCAATATAAATGGAAATGGATGAAACGTACTAATTACAAATGCGATCTACTTTCTAACAATACAATTCTTTTACGAGTGAATGCTTACTAGAACGTTGGACAAAATTTTTGAAAAGGAAATTATTTGGTATGAGATAATTATTAAGAATTTTTATTTATTCGTTTAATAGTTTTGATCATATACTGTAGGTAGAAACAAATCCTAAATATTACATTTAGGCTTATTATGAAGTAATTTTCACTGGGTTTTTATTATAATGCTTGTATTAATGTACAGCTATAATAATTATAATAAAAACAGTAATAAAAGTGCTTTTGAAATTTAAGGAGTGTTAAAAGAGGACAATAATAACAACTAATTCTGAAAAACATATAAAAGGTTAAAAAAAAATTAAATACGTTTCTTTAGTCCTATTAACATATTAAATATTAGATATTCTTAAACTTGCAACCTTTTTAAATTTTTTTTGAACAAGTTTTCGAAAATCTTTATAAAACGCACAAAACGATACGAAAATAAAGATGGTATTATAATACTTACATTACTTACACTTTCCCTTCCCGATGTTTTTTAGTGTCGTAATGACATCTGATACTAGATAATTTGAAATAAAAAAATTACTATTAATTATGTTCTTTTCTGACGCGATTGTTATATATATAATAATTTACGTTCTTAGAAACTTTTGAATCTTTGTGACTCTTTATGATGGTGAATTTGAGCTTGCTTATTATGTTGAATCGCATGACATCCAATGTGAAATATCTTTTTTTTGTTGACTTATCAGCAAATTCACTCTCCTGGTTTCGTCTTGAATTTATGATCTATTCATCCCAATGATGAATGATCAATAAACACTATCTATAAATAAAAAACACATTTGGCGCTTTAAACAGATATTCGGTCGGAGTTCTTGTGTGTTGCAGTGTTTTTAGGTATAATATGAGGGCAAAGTAGTAAAAGAAACGGTATTAAAGATAAATAAGAACGTATAGTATTATAACTTGTTCTCGATCTTGTCTTGACGAAGCATCCGGTTATTTGAAATACATTTTTCGTTATCTCTATTTTCTACTAATATCACTTCTTTGTTGATAGATTCATCAATACATGAGATACTGATACTAAACAAAGATGTCCAAGTTACTGTATTAAAATAAATAAGATATTTATATTTCATCATACAAGGAAATAAATATTAATTAATAAAAATAAATGAATAATTTTACATTAAGATATTAAAATCATTGTTATATTATTAAATACCAACACAATTTCCAATTCCGGAAAGAATTTTTTAAAATCTAGCTCCATCTTCATCACGCAAGTGGCTAATATCAGCATTATTGAATACCGCCTCATCGAAAATCAAAGGATGTATATTTTGTACCGTGAATGATGATAAATTTATTAAACTAGGAAATAAAAAATTTAAAAAGGTAAAATAAATTATTAATTGTTTAGATAATAAATTCCATCATAATCATTCATCATCAGGACGATTACTTGAACTATATATACGATAATCTTGAGTCATATATAAAAAAATTATGTAAGTATATCGTTAAAATATCTGATATACAGTATAGTACGTATCGGCGAACTTACCAAATACCTCCTGTGTCACTTTATCAGATTTCCGCGCAACATTATGTTCTGTAGTGGAATCAGTCATCAGTAAAAATGTTCATGTGAATGAGTTCGACTCATCATTATCATTTCTATATTAAAAGAATATAATTAATTAATAACCAAATAATTATTATTTAGCATCAGAAAAGCACATTACCCTAAATCTTTTTTTTTTTTTTTGAAGTTCATATACCAAGTAGTATAAGGTGAAGCAAACATATGATAAAAATCTATATTATTCAATTGATACTCTACCATATTCCTCATAATCACCTACTGAACTTATTAAAGCAACTGATTTATGATTCTTACAATATTCTTCAGTTTCTAACATTAAAATAACATCATTAATTATCTAATATGTTGTATACTTCAAACAAATACTTACTTTGGGTGGGAATCTTAAGAAGTTGCTTCTTTGATTAAATAATACTTCTTATTTTTTTAATTTACGATCAAGCAAATTAAATTAATAAAAGACAAATGCGGAAAATCGAGTTATTATATGAGAATTTTATTAACGGTGTTTCCGATTTACAAATTAAAGTTAACGTAAAGGAATTGGATGAACATGGGAATATTTATACTATTTATACTTTTTTTGAAGTATGGGCAAATCAGGAAAAGCGGCTGCGTGTAACGAATAACGAATATTTACCGCTGGTAAATTCTGGAACTAAAATCACGGGATAGTTCAAAAGTGATGAAATTTTGACATTGGCATGTAAACTAGTAATTTTTATTAAAAGTTGAATATTATCATAGTAAGTACCCAAACACATATTTTTGCTCATTTTATTTCTAATATTTTGATCAATACTTTCAGCCATGATATTGAGTTCTAATCCTTGAGACACTTCGAGTTGCATCGAAAAATATACATTTGATTCTAAATCATCTACAGAACACAATACTAAGAAGTATTAGATTTACTATTCATTAAACAATAATAATGAAAAAATTTTATAATATATACAACGGACGGATATTTTAAGGTGCACCAGTCGTACCACGCACGTTTTCACGATTATAAAGAGATAACTTTCATACAATTTAAATTAGATAACCGTTTATTATGATAACTTTAGCAAGTCCTTTGTATTATAAAACTAAGAAAAAGTACCTAAACCAAACGTTGCTGCATGTTCCTACTTCCGCATTAGATATATGAAGCCTTATCTCAGCTAAATGAAGTTAAAAAGCAAGAGAAGAATTTGTTCTTTTAACAACAATTTCATTTTATAGTTTCTTTGTACTAAAAAAAAAAGACTTTTCTATCGTTACCAACTATAAAGCGCAAAAGAAAACCAGTTTTCAAAATATTCAGAAGAAAACCAATTATTAACGATTTCCGAAGGAATTCTTGCAGAAATCCCAACTATTTAAGTATTTCCCTTAAAATCATTCTTTTACCGCATTTAGAAATTTTTATGAATTCATTAGTAATTCGCGGAATTAGCTCCGAAGTGTAATTACACAGAAGTAATGATTTAGGAAAAACGTTGGTTACATTCTTAATTGGGGTTTCTGCAAGAATTCTTTCAGAAATCGTCAATAATCAGCTTTAGGGTCGCACGGTTTTGTAAACAACGATAAAAGGTACCAAAAAGAAATCATGGTCTAAAGTCTAAGCAGATTCGAATTGGGCAATTCAATAACTATTAAACAAGCTAATAAAACAAAATTGCGGCTGTGCATAAAAATTCCAGTCATCCTAATTTAGAATTATTTATAGTTAAATTCTTAATGCCGTAATTCCGGCCATAAATTCACGTGATATTACACGCTTAGAACATACGTTGTACGATGTTGCACAAGTTATAGTTTTATTGAATTTTCATTGAAAATTCTATAATTTACGCCATTTGCACTTTTCATTTCTCTATTAGTATTTATAATTTACCTAAATATATTTCTTATAATAAATGGAATAATAACAAACTAAACAAAGAAAAAAAAAATAATGATGGTCTTTGGAATTTAAACATTAATCATATACAGTTATAAAATATTTCACACTCTTCTACAAATCAACGCTGCCTATAGTACTTTAGAACATACCTGATTTAAGAATTAATTGATCGATAATTCTAGAAGTTTTAATATTCCTAATGAATTCATGGGACGCGAGTTTTTAAATACTAATTATCAAATTAAAAGTTTCAAAATTATTTTAAATTGGCGTGGATAATATATGATTTTGTATTAAAATAAAGTTTTTATGCATTATATAATGACATCGCAGTAAGTATAAAAGAAAATAATATAATGAGCTTAACAAAGAAGTTTTTTCAAAATTTTATTAATATAACAACAATTAAAATATGACAATTGTTTAAAAAAATATATTGCACAACGGCGGAAATTTCTTTCTCCGAAAAAAAAAGAAGTTTTTTTTTGTTCTGGATAATAACAAAAAACATGTGGCAGAACGGTCTGCTGCGGACAAAAATTTTTATATAATAACTTGAAGTTTTTCAACATAAAAAGAAATATTCATCAATTTATCATTTCAACAATTTAAGAAAAAATAAAACATGAGTAATAATAATTATTCACAAAATAATTTTAGTAATAATGATGACTGCGAATCAATTCTTACTAATAAATTTATTACTCAAGAGAGAGTAATGAATGATACATACGTGCCAGCAACATACAGCAATAACATTAATAATGCTGATCAGCAACCCATTTCCAATCAGCAATATGACGCTTTGAGCGACATTTATCAAAATCATCAGCAATCCACGTCTAATGGCAATAATAATATTACTATTTCCCCTGATCATAATCATCAACAATATGACTCTTTTAACCATAACCAGCAATCCACTTCCAACTGCATTTTTAACAATAGTCATTATCAACAATATGATTCAAATAATATTTCTCGTCATAATTATCAAAAGTTTTACCCGCAACATATTAATCAAAATTTACCACAGTCCAATATTTTTCATATTAATTCTCCTCAGACAAACATTATTGTTATACCAGCAACTAACTCAGATATTCAAAATCACCAGCTTCAGCAGGTCTATGCTTACTTAAATCATTCCTTTAACGTTAACAACTGAAATAATACCTTATAATAATTCAAATCCATCTTTTTTACCATAATCAGTATAAAACAATTTCTGGCCATAGATTTTGTACAAATACAACTTTCATTTAGGATTTTATACAACTTCATTTAGATTTCATTTTAGATTTTATACAATTTTCATTTAGATTTTTATGCAATTTCATTTAGATTTTATACAACTTTCATTTAGAATTTTATGCAATTTCATTCAACTTTCATTTGATTTTATACAACTTACATTTAGGATTTTATGCAACTTTCATTTAGATTTTAGACAACTTTCATTTAGATTTTATACAGCTTTCATTCAGATTTTATACGTTTTTTTTTCTTTAGATTTTGTTACTCCATTACTACACACGATAATACAAATGTATTAGTAAGTAAAATTTTTTTAGGATAATTTATTGATTATTCCTACTATAGTATGCAAATTTTAAAATTCAATATAATGAAACTTCGTGTGATTTTGTACGAATTCCGAATTTTATAATCCAGACACCCCATAATATTGATTTTCTTTCTTTTATTAATATATGCTGTACACAATGAAATTCGATACATATTTGTCATATAAGATTCGGAATTTCCTTTGAAATAATAATAATTTGGGTTTTTGTTTTATCGCACCCGCGAAATATCGCATCCCCATATAAAAGTCAAAACCAGTATTCTAAACTTTTTTTGATATAATAAATAAAATTGTAAAATACGCATACTATATGGTTTTTAAAAGTGTTACAATAGGCACATAAAGGTTTGCGCCAAAAATGTAAAAAAATTGAGAATTAGAAAATTTGGCAAAGATCGGCACGCATATGCGAAAAAAATAATTTCGCTGTATTATTAAATTTATGCATGTGACTAGGGCCCCTGAATACGCTAATGAAACTTCCACGGACAAAATTTTATATATCCGTACATTAATTAACCTTCAGGCCTTATATTTATCCGTACACTGAACTTTTTTTAATAATAAATTTTTTGAAAATTCAATCTATACGAGCTTCACAAAAATTTTTTATATTATTATTTGAATATTTGGATTTTCTTGACTATTTTTTTTTTTTTTTTTTTTTTTTTTTTTGATTTCATCAATGTTTCACTTCTATCTATGTTGGACGAATTTAAGTTTCTGAGATTCATATTTATGATAAATTAATTGACAAAAAAAAACATGATAAAAAGTATATTTATATGAATTTTGTACGTCGAACCCCCTAATTCTGGAGTAAATCTGTACACGGAGGTAATTTTTATTGTAAATCCGTACAACAAGGTAAATCTGTTTGTTACTCTAAACTTTTCATATCCGTACAATAAGAACCGCGGAACTTCAACACTAAATTATCAAATCCGTACAACGAGGTTTCTATCAGTGTATTCAGGGGCCCTATGTGACTGCGTAAAATTTTATAAACGTGGCTCAATATTCATCTTCTTAATTTACACATATTTGTGACATAAAATAATTTCTTAACTGTGAATAAAGTCAAGAATATGAAATAAATCAGACGATCGTTGTTGTCGAATTTGAATATATTTTCTTTTAAATATAATAATAGCAGTTAAAGCAAAATTTTACAAAAAATTAAGTTCACTATATTTCTTAAATTAGGTCAATTGAAAATTATATCATATTCTTCTGGCTGATTCTTGTCCTACACTAATGGAAATGACCAGATAGTCATTTGAAATGACCCCTGAATGGCAAAAGTATTGATCTTGATATTGTACGACTAGTCTTCTTGATAGACCATGCATTTGAGTTTAAGGCTGCCATGATGCTGGCCAGAATTACAAATCAATGTCACGTGATAAATTTATCTAAATAATTTTGGCCAGAATTATGATGTAACTAGGTCATTCGTCATTTAGTGTTGAAATGACCCAAATGACAATTGCACGTGATCAGTCATTTGAGTCACTGCTACTCTGCTAGCTTTCGTATTAAAGATTGTAATTTTTGTGGCTGTGTTCTGCGCAACAATATATTTTTATTTTTATTTTTTGTTTCAGAAAAAACCAAATTGAAGTACAAATTACTTAGACAACAAATACATGAGTCAAAAGCAACTTTAAAACTAACAATCAACCCACAAGTCTGCGCAACAATATAGCAATCCTCAGCGAAATGACCAAGTCATTTGACCTGGTCATGTGATTATATAGACAAAATTATGACGTAATTGACATCATTTTTTGGGAAATTTTATTTATAATTCCGACGATAATGATATAGAATGAACCTTGTATAAAATTGGCCTTGAATTTTATGGCGCCTTTGATAGGTCCTTATGTATCTAGTGTATCATACAAATCAATCAATACCTTAGGATAGATTGGGATTGTCCTATATTATAAATAATTTTTCATTTAATCTCTTAACGTATTAGATAAAGTGATGAATAATAATAATTTAGATTACCAATAATAAGTTGATTAATTATCTTTCGAAATAATGTAAGCAAATTGTATGTAACACTAATTAATTTAAAAGGAGTTGAAGTAATAAAAATAATAATTGGTGATAGTCATCTGACAAAATTTTTGTTCGATTTCGTTGATTTCAAAATGAAAAGTTTTTTAGATCGTGATCTAAACGTCCATTTTATGAATGATTTCGGATGCATCATAAAAGCGTTATGAATTTTCACGCCAATGTTTTGTTTAGATTCAAAACTCTATCATTTCTTCGACGATTTTATAATTTCATCGCCGATCTTTAGTTAGATGCACTGTAGTGACTGTAGTGACACGGTTTTAAAAATCGGTTGAAGATATACTAATTTGATTGGATACTACTTGTAATACCATTCGCTTTAGAGAAAAAAAAAGAAAATTTATTTATATCGAAATAAAAATTTATCATAATTATTAATTCATCGAAGTAGAACAATATTTCATCATTTTTCAGCTACACAAACATTTTAATTAAGATCTACCATCGTTAGACAGTTGACGTAAATACCCAAAATACCCAATATCGGTTCCGTACTCCGATCTCTTTACGGATCAAAACTGCAAATTATAAAAATTGTAACTCCATTTATTTCCATCGTATATGAATGAATAAAGATTAATAAGTATTTATAGAGAGTATGTAATCACTTATTTTGCGATTTGTGTTGATAAAATATGTAAGTGGCTTTTTATTTAACTCTGAATTTTTTCTCAATATCGAACTTTGTAGCAATTTGCAATATCAAAGCTACCAATATGAAAATTTCTTAGTTTATGCTATTCTTTTTTTTTTAAGAATATAAAAATGTGCAAATGTGAATTTTATTCGCGAATCATCACTACTGGGTAAGCTAATACGATTTTTATTACACGTTCATTAAATTATTTTATTATTTATAAATTATATTTTTAATAAATATCAATTAACCCTCAAAAATTAGGTCACATTTATTTCAATGCTTCGACGAAATAAATGTAGCAATACGTAATATTAAAACAATAACTTTATAATGGCCCGGTACTGTGAACACATCACATTTTATTTCGTCAATATTCGCTTATTTTATTTTCGTTTTGTATTTTCGGATACGTATACGTATTCCGAAAATTTATTTTCATTTATGTTTAAATAATAAGTATGCGCTACTAAGCCTTCTAAGATATAAATTTTCCTCACAATAAGTTCTCTTTAACAATTATGAACTTTTCTTTTTATTATTATTATCTATGAAAAATCGATTTTTAATTTTTCAAATATTCGTAAATTTCATAACATTTTGACCTAGCAATTTTTTTTTTTTTTTTTCGTTATCGACTTTTATATTTAATTGTATTATCGTTTACAATTTAATTTTTTTTAAATAAATTAATATTATATTATAATTTTATGTAAATCCAATTTATATAAAAATGATATACAGAATTTTAATAGAAAAGGGTCACAAGCATGAGATTTTGTACTGTTGTACAACAGAAATGATGAGCACAAAATGGCTCTTCATATTTTTAAGCCAACTTTCCTAATTTTTTTAACTTTTATTAAATATATTAATTTGAGTAACTAACTTTTTGTATAAAAAAGGAAATATTTAAACTAATAATATTAGCCATTAGTTCATTTCACTCAAGACACTGTATTGTTTACTGCTGATACGCCTCTTCCCCATAACTCTCATTCAGGCATGAAATATTTAGTTGTAAAATTTGTATACTAACATTGATTTTATTGACCTTGATATGCTTATTTTCATTACAAATATTACACAATTCCAAATTAAAAAAATTTGTTGTCATTGTTTAATAGAACTTCTTTAAGTAAAATATAGTATATTCTAGAACAAATCCCTTTATATTATACTGTAATTTCTAAAATTTCTTTCTTTTTTTTTTTAATAATATATATAGTAATAAATTAATAATTCGAAAAAACAAATGGGATTATCTAATATCATCAGCGGTTATCACTGGTTCAATTTTTAAAACTTACCCTTAACTCCCTTAACTATGATATTTATTACATGATTACATGTAAATTTATGAGAAAAAAGTTTTATTAGATCAGAAAGACTTGTTATTTGGATAGATTTTGAGAAAAACGTGAATTTTTGATTTTTCAAAATTAACGGTAACAACCACCACATTTTTTAATTTTTTATAATTTTACGTAGCTCTGGCCGAAATTATAATTTTTGGCCAGAATTAACGACAATCACCGCCGGTGAGCTTTAGCAACTTTAGCAATACTTCGTTGTATAAAAAATGATGACTCAAAAATTATATTACTTTCATTGAAATTCAATTAAAGTTCGTATTACTAACTAATTGTGACGGAAGTGATTTTTGATACAGTATTTAATGCATGTTATCAAAGTTGATCTTTTCGCTCATTCTGATTTCATATCATAATTTTATAAGCGTTAAAGCAACAGACGTGTATTCCAATATTAAGTTTATATCCGGATGCAGGATACTTAATGAGACTAAATTAAGTAAACGGAATTATTCGTATCTCACAATCAGCCGACATGGGGATGAACACAATAGAAATTATTTGATCATGTGATGACGATTTTTTGTGACCGCCGAGCATATTAATTCCAGCCGAAATTAATTTGACCTAAGTAAAGGTTTTAACTCTGGCCAAATTTCAAAGGGAATGTAATCACGTGACTTTCAATTGACTATCATGGCGCAAAAAATTTTTTGTGCTATTCAGTACGTCCGTGTCTAATAAAACATTTGTAAATTACTAAATACTATTAAAAAAAATATATTATTTTCTTACCTTTTGCTTGGAACCTGAGAGTTCACCAGGTATAGTTTTATTTAGACTCAAATATTATATTTTGGAGAAAATATCAAAAGAAGTTCCAAAAAGTTTGCGAATCGCTTATTAGTGAAAGTTTAGAATCTCTCTACTGGAAAACATAATATTATTTTTTTTTAAAAAAAGCATTTTATCATCATTTATTGATTTAATATATTTGAATTCTATAGGTATGTTTTCACATGCCTTTACAAAAATAATAACAAAATAATACATAATTATTCAAACTAAAGTACTTTGTTCTTGGGCTTTTCATATTTTAAATTTTGCGCCATTGATAGTCTTATTATAAATCACGTTACTACACGCTCCCATTAATACCGGCCAGAATTAAGTTTAGTCCGTTTAGCGCGTGATGGGTTGCTAAAACTCGAAAAGATTATAATCATAATTCCGAAAGAGTTTCAATACCAAAATTTTATAATCTCGACACTTCATAAGACAAAGACAAAATAACGAAATGAAAAATACTGAATTTTTTAATACAAAAATTTTATTAGTTAAATTGACATTTTAAGAAGTTAAAATTTGAAAAAAACAATAAAAAAAAATTTTTTGAAATAATATAAATTATTTTCCAAGAAAATGCCAGTATCTGCCGGTATCATGTTAATTTTGGATTTAATTCTTTACAGTCAGAACTCGATATAACGACTATGCGATATAACGAATTTCACGATAAAGCGATTTTTTTAAGAACATATAAAAATCGTTATTTCAGTAATTTGCATACACATTCGTTACTTTTTGTATATATTGTAACGTATAATGAGATGCCTAAACGCAACTGCAACTGCAAACTAAGGTTGGTTGCCGTAAGTAACGATTATTATATATCGAATTACAACTTTTAGTAGTTGTAATATTATAAACGTAAGCTGTAAATTGGCTGTAAATATTACACTATTGTGGTTACCTAAAAGATGGTAATTCTGATTTACAACTATTATATTTACTTGACTTTTGAACTTACAACTATTTACGGAGACCAACACTACTGCAAACCCAAAAGTATTATCAATTTCAATATGTTAGCTTATAAGTATCTTTGTTTTTTATTTAATAAAAAAAATTTAAAGCTTACTTATGTAGTGGAAAGAATAAATAGCTTATGTATAGGAATGAATGAATAAAAGAAAAAGAATTATGCCAAATTTACAATAATAATACTATTGGTTCACGCATATTATTAAAAATAGAAAACTGAAAAATGTCTTTTGATAATAATTCTTCATCCTTCAATAATCAAACCCACAGATAATGTTATTTAGATTCTGGCCGGTTATAAGGGACAAACCTAAAATTATGAGGTAAAAATTCTCTTTTTTTCTTTATAGTTTCCTTACGCTTTCTATTTTTTATAATATTTTTTAACCTAATATTACACATATTAAAATCATATTGATTTATTTTTTTTGAATTATTAGATTTTTTCTTATCCCACCAACTATAACCTTCAAAAGCAATTTTAAGCCATTGTTCCACTTGTTCACTTTGTAAATTTAAAATATCCGTATCATATCTTGATGCATTATCAATCATCATTTGATATTTGGTTAATTCGTTACGAAATTTATCAAATACTTTTACACGATAAGTTATTTCAGCAATTTGACATTGAGTGAATTTACAAAGAGAACGAAGGAGAAACGGAGAGGAAATTAAAGTATTTAGGTTTTTTGTGGAAAAGCATTGAGATGGTTTAAGTTCTTTCGGTACGATACCGATTTGATTTGCTCTTTTGTTGATAAAAATTAATTCAAGAAATTGAATAATTGAATAAAGTAAAAAGGTTTTGTGGAGAGGTATTATACAATTTTTGTGACGGTCGCGATGTTCTGAACTAAATTTGTTTTTGTTAGCATTTATATTGACATTCTTAGGAGAAGAATGTTTGTTAATAGTTTTTTCGATCGTTGGAAGAGGATTAATTGCCATGTTATTTTTTGTTAAGTTTGGTAAGTTCGTATCGTCAATTTGAATCATTTTTTTTCGTATATTTTTTTCCTATTTTCAATTTTTTTTTTTTATTTTTATTTTTTTTATTTTTTTCTTTAATTTTTTATTTTTTTTTAAAATAGGATTAAACTAAGAAATTCTTTAAAAGAACTCGTATTTATAATAAATTTCCACACCAATAAAAAAAACTATTCTTACTAAAAAGAATTATTAATCGTACCTATTTTTAATCTCCATCATTACGTTATGTCCATTGTTATCATTTAACTTTTCCATTGTTTTTGTGGCTAATCATAATGGACATTGGAAAGTGTGATCATCATCTTATTGTTTGTATAAATTACTAAAGAAGATCATAAGAAAAAAAAAATGCTTTTTTTAGATAATATATATATATAATTTTGATAAAGCATCAACATAATAGATTCGGTATCAATGAATTTCAATGAATGAGAATTTTATTTAACTATTCATTGTTTACTCTGTGTGTGAGAAATAATTATTTATTTAAGGTTACTGTGTGTGGAGAAATTACTATTTTAGCCTAAATTATTCGTCCTAAATTTAACTTTTATTTTATTTTTATTGCGAATGGAACGAAAAGTGGATTCTTGGTTCAATCTGATAGGTAAGCATGTTATATTATATACGAGTATAGTAATTATGGGGAGCCGCATATTTTCTATTAATAAAGTAACCCTATAATTATTTATAATGGAAAAGTCATGTGAGAATAATGACAATGGACACCAATTTTCGATAAAATTATTTTGCCCATTGTTCATTTACTAAAAATTAAATAATTAAATTTGGTATTAAAAAGATTCAATCCAGTTTTCTTACCATTAGGAAAAAATAACTTATATCGAAATTAGAGATAATAAAAATAATAAAACAAATTTTATTTGAGTATTTTAAATAGATTTCATTACGCCTTTATTTTTTTGGAAAAAAAAATTTGATTGGTTATGGTGATTTTATTGTAACACATTGTTCCTTTTTCGTGAAGAAAGCGTGGAAATTATACATTTAAAGGATACAGAAGATAAATCTTAAATTAGACAATGAGACGACGTTGAGACGTGGTGGAGAAATTAATTTTTAAAAATAAAAAAGTACTTTTTATCAAATGCAGATAAATAATTAATTAAATCATTTGTTTCATATAAATATTTGTTTTGTTATTTACGCATATTTAATAGAATTACATGCTAATCATGTGACACAATTTAAATTTAACACTATGATTTGTCTCTTCTAAAGAATATAAGTCGTATTATCTTTCTAGAGTAAAAATAAAATTTCTAAAGTAAAAATAAAATTATAAAGGGGAAAAGAAAATTATTTTAAAATATAAACATTACATATTAATTCATCTTTTTATAGGTAGAATAATAACAATTAAATTTACAATAATGGGATTTAATATGTATGATCGACCTAAAACTCTCCTTTTTGTTTAAGGAGAACGAGGAAATTTGTATACCAAGTAATTTGATACTTAAGTAATCATTATGAATTTCTTCAAATTATTTATGAAATTCATTCGTTGATCCATTTAAAATTCTTTGTCTTATCTAAAAAAAAAAAGGAGCCCCCTTTTTTTTGATAACTTTGGCATGTAATACACTAATACTTATTACCCCTTATTCCATATATTATCTGTTATCGACTTTCAAGCGCCAAATCTTACTTATTCTTGGCATTTTATGAAATTTGAATATATTTAACTTTCTATTTTTATGTTATTTAGTTTATATTAATATCACTTTTTCTTTAATTAAAAATACCGGTGACTGCTGTTTATATTAATTTTATTAATTTCGTTATTCAAATATGACTTTAGTAATTATTCAATTTCTTTCCATTTATAAATACAAACTGAGACATATAATTATTCGTAGTAACCATATTAGTCTTCGACCAATAATATAGCCAATAAATGCTGAGAATCATATATTGGTAAAATTTATTGTTCTGTCGATTTTGGATATATATATAATACATTGTCGATTAACAATAGCTATTAGAACAATATTTAATAATAAAATATTTTTTTTTTTTTAGAATTTTTGGAAAGTTCAGTGAAAGATATTTTAAATAAAAAAAACTTTTTTCTTTTTTTTTTTATTATTACTTACATAATAAGAGAATTCAATGATAAAATTTTCTTATAGCAAATACTTGTCAAATTTATACCATTAAATACGATTGTTGATTACAAATTTAATGATCATTCAAAATACGAGTAATAACGGGTAAATTTCATTCATATTATTATTACACAATAATACATAATATTTTTATTTTTCAAATAACTTCAACCTTTCAACTTCACTTCATTTATTTGAAATNTTTTTTTTTTTTTTTTTTTTTTTTTTTTTTTTTTTGTATAATATTTTGTAAACAAAAGTTTTCATTTAGTGCCAAATAATGTCCTAAAAATGGTATTAATATGGTCTATCACATTAATCACATGATCAAAGATTTAACAACAACATTGCGGTATTACGGAGATTACGGGGAAAAGTACTCCGAAAAAAATGAAAAAAAATGAAAAATTGGAAAAATTTTAAATTTAGTAATAGGTTTTAACCTTGTATGATAAAGTTTTCTCTACATTTAGATAAAGACTAATAAGACCGTTGCGGCTATACACGACTTATATAAATTAATCAAGTATACGTATAAAAAGAGAAGCCCATTTGTACATTTGTAATACCAAACAAAACAAGTTCCCCCCATATCATAGGGATTTCATGTAACATAAAACCAGGGATCTAAGGGATTATCATATTTATAGAATACGTTCACAAAAGTATGATCCTTTAATAGAATCTTGCATTAAGATCTTTTCCCAATCATTGTCATTTTTCCTTTTGATATGACTTTGTGCAACCTTTATTCCACGCTAAAACAAATAACCGATCATTTTCCATTTAAAAATTATTTTAACCTATATCAAAGTATATATTTGGAAATTCACGCTTTGCGTGGTAAAATATAAACAACCCCTATAAAGTTTAATTTATGGCCTGATGTATTGAAATATATGCAAAAAATTTTTTCCTTATAAATTTTTAATTATAGTCTTGAGTCATGCAAAAGTTGGCTGCTTTATAATAAAACCTTAATTCTGGTTGAAATCTAGATATTATACTAAAAAGGTAAGAAAAAAAGAATTTTATTCCGTAGATATCACCATAAAAATTTATGATTATGCGTGGCGTTTCATAGTAATACAAATATATTATATTTTTAACATAGAATTTTGAAACTTATTTTCCTTCTTTTTTTCTACAGTTAAGTGGAAAATCGTTTTTTCTTATTTTCATGATTTAGATTATCTTGAAACAAAGAAAATACTTGTTGCTGAAACAAAGAAAATATTACTTGTGTAAAGGGTTATTGAAACAAATGATGTACGTCAATCATATAAATAAACAATAGAATAAAAAGAATTTTTACACAAAGAATCTAAAATAAATTGTTCGAATATCCGATATACATGCATATAACAAATAGGAGAATTGTAAAATAAAATTGAATCGAGAATCAATGAGAAAGCAGAAAATAATAATAAAGTTTTTCAAAAAAAAAAAATTATTATTATTTTTTTTTGATACTTTACGACAGAATAAATAAAAAGTTGACGAAATTATATTATCGCCGTAATTTATTCGATTCAATTATGACTCACATAAAAAAAGTATGTCATCATTCTTATTTAAGCTGTCATTTTCATCATTTACTGAAGAGTACAAACGGCGGAGATACCGGATTAAGCAATATTTATTGTCCGACGTCGTGAGAAAAAAAAAAAAATTATTATCAATGACTCTTATTATAAAAATTTAATATATACATCTTTTTTTCACTCCTTAAATAATAATAATTTTAATACCGGATTTCGTGAGGCTTTTTTTTCCGTTGTAGCATACACCGTATTCTAAACGACGATAATTATCCGAATATAGTTATTATGTTTGAATTTTTTTATTAGTTTTACTATAGGATGAATTATTATTATATTATGACTAATTACTATGATTTAATAATATTATATGAAATTTCCTTTTATTAAAATACTTAAAAGGTATGTTATTTAAATTTTATATACGACATATATTTTTTTTTTCAAAATTATTTAAAACCTCAGAAAATCACGAATGCTGCTGCAAAACATACACTTTTTCTCATCCAACTTTCAATCATTATTTTTCATAAAACCTTTTGGTTTCGATTGTCTCTCTTTCTTCAAAAAAAAAAAAAAAATTATTTTTATTAGACGAATCCTTACATATTAATATAAAAATATGAAACAATTTCAAAATTTAAAAATAATTTTTAAATATGTCCTGAGTTTAACATTAATTTGTCTAAACTGTCGGTCAGTTGTAAAAGGGAATACTCATGCATTATTCTATAAGATAACAGCATTGCCATTAGTGCACTTCGGCAAAAATTATCAACTTGTTAATAGAATTCGTTCTATTCAGCAAAAATTCAAATCGCCCTTTATAAACAATATACCATTGGATGAAGGATACAAAACAAAAATCAGTGACGTGGCATTATTTCACGCGGATTATCACGTGATTAGACATGTCAACGTTGAAAATATTCTTACCGCTCTATTTCCTCTTAGACCAAAATTATTTCAATTAGATTCAAATAATGATGGTTTTCACATTAATCAACTATCCAAAAATGGATACAAGAATGATAAGAATTTTTTTTTAAGGTACTATTGAATTTTATTTGGTTTTTAGTGTAAATTAAGGTGTAAGATACGATATCATTTTATATTTTTCAATTACTCATTTTTTCTTTCTTTAAAATAATATAATATATTAGTATGGAACACCGTTTTCAAACAACACCTCTAACTGTTTTCAGGCTTTCCATTAATAATAACGCTGGGACTTCAAGATATATTAATCAAAGGCGACATACTAGTCACATTAGTCGCCTTAGAAGGCAAAGAAACGTAAGTAGAATATATCGAAGACATCAACGTAATGCATCAGCCAATAACGAAGATACTATGAATAGAATCATGAATCTTCCACCTCAAATTACGAATGACCAGTCTATATATCAATTTTTCAATGGATTTTCATTCAATTAAAAAAAAAAAGTAAAATTCCCTTATTATATGTTGGGGATTTTACATTATTATTTATAATTATTTTTCACGTTTATAGTATTTTAAAAATTAAAAATATAAATATTGTACAGTATATGCATGTATCTAGTTAAGAAAAATAATTTAGACATTATAAATAGGTTATAAATATGAAAAAATTTTTTAATTATTAAAAAAAAAAAAAAAAAAAAAAAAAAAAAAAAAAAAAAAAAAAAAAAAAAAATTACAAAAAAAAAAAACGTGTATATATAATTCATTTTTTTCATTTTCTTCATGTATTATTATTTCATTTTAATATTCATTTTTGATATTTTGTTTTTGAACTTTATGCTCTTCTTTTTTTTTATTTTACCGATTTAGTTCTACATTCGGGAAATTTTTTTTTTTTATCAAGACCTTTTCATAATACTTTGTTTTGTAAATTATTCAATTTTAGTCATTTTAGTCCTAAAACGCAAATCATTTAAAAATAAATCATTTTTATTTTGGACCGTATATGTATTTTCATTTGTTTAAAATATATGTAAAGATTTATAATTCAAACGACGAATAAGCGCTTTTTTTCGGTGATTCTCCTCAGTTCTAAATATAATATTAAATGATCGATTGACTAAACCTTACGAAAGAAATGGATACTAAATAGATAGTAAGATCAATAAAAGAAATAATTTACATTGTTTATCGTTGAGATTCAAAATAAATAAAAAAGTGAATAAATTTATTTTTTTGGAATCTTTTTAAAAGTGATTTTATTAATTTTAACATTTTTGAATTAAAATAATTTTGTTATGGTAATAAAAAAATACGCATCCTTTGCATCCTTGCACAATATGCACCCCTTACAGTATGTTTGGCAACGGAGTTACGGAGTTTAGGATTGTTAGATTATTAATTGTTACAATGTGTCACGGCCTTCTATGTTTCATATTTACTACGTATGGGAACAAGAATTTATTTGCCGTCATTATAACGCATTCTGATTTTGTGCGGATTCCTTGAAAGGATTTCGTAAATTTGTGACAATCTTTTATAATTACTTTCTACAAACAACAATTTACTTTGAACGCTTAAGTACGTCTTAAATGTCTTAAATACTATAAAAGTGGTTAAATTTAGTTATTTTAGATTATAGAAATCAACATTTAATTTTTATTAACACTATCCGTGTTGAATTCTTTTAATAGCATTTATATAATCTTATAGTAGTTACGACGTGCATAATATGCATACAGTATTAGCGTACGCGAAATTTACAAATTTTATTATTTGATCGACATTCTATTTGAGTTAATACTATTATTTTTAAAAAAATAGCATAGAAGTGAAATTATACCATGATAATGAAACTTTAGCTAGCTAGTAAGTGATTCTAATGATGTTAAAATAAAAAATTATTTATAGTTAAGAAAGCCACATAAAGTTTCCCATCTTAAATTCTTTGAATAATTTCAATTTAAAATCAATAAAAATAAATTTATCAAAAAAAAAAAGAAATAAAAAAAAAAAAAATAAAAAATAAATGATACTTAAAGTTTTTAATCTCTTACAACTTTTTATAATTTTACAACACGCACGTTTACTCATTAATTGCAAATGATGTGAAATTCCGCTCGTATATCATAATTCCATTAGAAATCACATTAGCATTTCGCGTTGTTTTTGTGTCTATGAACCGTTTTTTATATTTATCTCATATCGGTCGCTCGGATCGCTCACACCAACGTTGGCTACTCGCTCGGTCAACACGACCTCAATTCAATCTCGCCTTATCCAGAATGCCAGAATGCTTCGACATTTACCTAAGTAATAATTATATTAAGGAAGGTTACAAATAAATGCATAGAAGCATGCATAGAAGCATGCATAGAAGCGAAACTAATAACAACATTGTAGATCGGTGGTAAATAAACTAATAAATTTGAAACAATCAAAATTTCTTTTTTTGGAATATCATTTAAATAGTTTGTTTAACGTAGCACTTCCTTTGACTATTGACTTTTCGTTTGAACACGAATAAACATGGATGTTATAGCCCTCTTTTGACAAAGAGAACGCTAAACATGCTTAATAATTCATCCATTTACTGGTACATATATATGGTAATAAAGTTAGATTTTGGTCTGATCAAGACTGTGTAAATTCAGAATTGTACTAATATATAATAGATAGTTTCTTGTAACATTTGTAACATAAAGTTTGGTGTTCAAATGAACATCCATGCATATAACTTACACGAAAGAATTTTCTGTGATTAGATTTTTCTTGTCCATTGTGCCCATCTTTATCTTTTAATAAACGAATGCATAGTCGTTCAAAGGTTCAGTTGATATTTACGTTGCACTTGATTCTTAAATTCTACGACGAATTTCTTCTCCCTTGCCTTTTTTTTTAAAAAAAAAGGAAAAAAAGAAATCGAAAATTAATTAATACATTATAAAAAGTGAAGCCAACCTTTCTTATCGATTTAATCTTCTAATTTTATCAAAAGACCATTCTTATCTCTTTTTTTTAAAAAAAAATTATACATACATGAAACACATAATAAATAATTTCCTTTTCATGTATCAATTTACTGGTTTAGATACGAATAATTTGCTTTCCAATGGATCGTTTACGATCCTATAAAAGAGCATAAATTATTGTTGCAAGCAGACAAATTCTTTTTTTTTTTTTTTTTTTTTTTGACCATGACTAATAGAATAATTCGTTTTAAATGAAAATTATCCATATAAATAAAAAAAATTGTACTATCGTATTTACAGAAATAAAAATACTGTATATTGAAACATTTTAATGATATATAAAAGCAACTAAAATATTACGAACTTCGTGGTAGTTCTTTTTATTTCTTATACAAAGAATTTATATTTTCGGTTCAACTGAACGCTTTATTAAATAATAGTCCTTATCAATAATTCATGTTCCATATTTTACACAATAACGCTTCTAGATACTTAGAATAAACTTCAGCAGATTTATACCTATTTGAATAATTCTTTTCCGAATATATATACTGTATATCAATTAACTCGCAAAAACGATCCGAAGTAGTAAATTAAATTATAAATCGTCAATTAATATTAACATCTTTACTACTTCTATTTTATTTTCTTTATTTCTACTTATCTTACAATATTAATAATTATATTTATTGTTATTTAAGGCTCACCGTGATCGACCTACTGTACAGTCGCGTCGGAAAGTATTGCCCGATTTTGTATTGTGTAACGATACACTTAGCTTACATTTAATATTTATACCCCTTTTTTATTAATTTACAACTTGCCGAACCCGTTTCACAGTTAAAAAAATAATGACACATTATACTGAGTTATCTCCTCAAGAGAAGGGAAAAATACTAGCGTATATGGAAAATTTCAATCCTGCACAAATAGCAAGAAAAATGGGACGTGACCCTACCACAATACGCTGGTTTATTGACAAATACAAGAAGACTGGAAAAACTGAAAATTTACCGCGTTCAGGATGGCCATCTGCTCTCAATGATAATGAAAAAAATGCACTCATTAATGAAGTTACTAAAAATTGACGTGAACCTTTATATGAAGTTATTAATAAATTGAAGTTGAGTTGTAGTGTAACAACTGCTAAACAGACACTATATGATGCTGGAATTCATTCCCATGTTGCTGCAAAAAAGCCTTTTATATCAAAAAGGCATGCATCAGCTCGTATTAGTTGGTGTGAAAAATATAAAGAAAAAACAGCTCGTGATTGGGCACAAGTTATTTTCTCTGATGAATCAAGTATTGAGATTGGAAAGCAGTCACGACAAATAAGAGTTTGGAGGCATACAGGGGAAAGGTTTAACACTAAATGTTTGACACCTACCTTTAAAAGTAGTCGAAAATCAGTTATGGTTTGGGGATGTTTTGCAGGAGGGATAAAAGGACCATTGATTTTTTGTGATGAAAATAAGGAAGGAAATGAAAAAATTAATTCAAATACATATGTTAGAATCTTAAATAAACATCTCCATCCATTTCATCATACAGTTTGAGAATTAACAGGAAGGGCTGCAAGTTTTCAACAAGATAATGCACCCATTCATACCGCGAAAATAACTAAAGATTGGTTAAAGAAGAATAAAATTGCGATTATTGATTGGCCAGCCAATTCCCCTGATTTAAATCCGATAGAGAACATTTGGAAGCAGTTAAAAGACAATATCCAGAGTCGGGAGGTCTTTCCTAGAACTGTGGGTGAACTTAAAGCAACACTAAGTGAAGAATGGGAAAATTTGGACTGCTCCGTTTTTGAAGAAGTTGTTGCCTCAATGCCACAACGAATCAATGCAGTACTAGAAGCAAAGGGAGGGCCAACACATTATTAGCCATTTTAAAAGTTATTTTTTATGTAAATTTTAATGAGAATTAATAAAGTTTTGCCGATTTTGGCATTATTTTTAAATCGGGCAATACTTTCTGACGCGACTGTACTTACTATACATAATCATAATTTTGTTAGGAATTCAAATAGTTTCGAGATTTATATTATTCTTAGACTAAAATATTAATGTTGCTCACGTGGTTACAGCAGCGCAATAGGCGCAGCGCACATTAAATTTGCGTTTACATTAATGCATCAATGAGTCATTTTATAATATTGTCAGCTGTCAATTAGACGACCAATGCTGACCAACTCTCTTAAGGCATTATAAAATTTGACGGCGGTGGTCAGCTGACGATATTTGACGATTATAGCATAATTTTATTTTACTTATTTGATTCTATCCTATTTCATTTCATTTATTTTGTTTGTTTGTTTCATTTATTTATTTACTGTTTTTTGATAAATTTCCTCTACTATGTTCTTACCCTGTAAAAAATCAGATCCGTGTTTTATCTTTCCATGTTTTTTCCGTAAATGTATCATTTTCATGGAATTTATAGCCTTAAATCATGGAAATTTTCATCTCGCTAACACGGATATCCGTGAATGTATCATTTTCACGGAATTTTTACGGAAGACACGGAGAAATAATGGAAATATTCGGATAAAAATTTTTTATAGGGTTATTTAATTATTTTAATGAAGACGTTCGTTAGGAAAAAAGTGTTTATTTTAAATAAGTTGTATTAACTTTATTTAAGAAATATTAAAGTGTTTATTCTAAGTTGAATCGTATTCAAAATCTATTATTATTATACTCTGTAAATAAAATTAAATTGATCGATAAATGTAAAATTTCTAATAATATAAATTATCCTATAAAATGGAATTGTTTGAAACGTAATGGGATTCCAGTATTTCTAAGTAGAAGCTATTTCCCTACAAAAATTTTTTAAAAAAAAAGTTTTCGAAGGTATTTCGAAAACTTACCTCCAGGGTTCCAGTAATGAAGTCAGAGATTCAGAGCTAGTGTCCTACAAAAAAAAAATGTTTTTCATTTTCCTAAAAGTAGTTTCGAAATTGTTTTGAAACTCACCCGGATTCCAGTATCAAAGAGAGCCGGATCCTGTTACATTTTCGTTACTGGTTTTAGATCACTTCTTTTTTTCCTATTATCGGAAGGTTTGCCTATATGGTGAATTGCAGTTTAAAGGAATAGATGATTTTATAGTTTTTTTTTACTAATTTTGACATATTTATTATATTCTCTGTAATGACTTCGTTTCAAAATAAAATAAAATTTATAATTTTACTACATATAAAAAAATAGGCACATCGTTAAATAATATTATACATAGAAAAAAACTCTTAGATTAATTCTTCAGTTAATTTTCGATGAAATTTTCCACATATTTACTATTTATTTACCATATTACGACTTAGAAAAAGTGTATCATCAATAATTTCACGAGATCGTCGATATAACTTAACTGCATAGTTTTTGCAAAGTATGTAGGAAAATTTTTTTTTTTTGTACGTCGAATGATTTTTGTAATTCGGAAAAAGAGTGTTTCAAAATTTTTTTCGTATGAATTTTTTATTTTGAATTCAAAAAAATCTCCATGAAAAAATTTTAAAAAGAAACCATAACATTTCCATGAAATTTTCCGACTTACAAAAAATTTTAGGATGTTAAAATAAAAAAATATATTGTGTGTCGCAAAATTTATATATATATACATGAAATTTTTTTCCAACCATTTTGATTTCTAACAAATTAAACTATGAATAGTAGTTTTTCACAGCCATATTTTATTGAATATGAAAATTATTACAATAATTTACTACAATTGGGTTACGATACATTTCGCCGAAATGGACTTCGGCGAAAAGTCCGGATACCCCACAAATGACTACCTTTCAAGATTTTTCGCCAAACGTCAATTATTATGTTGTAATGAATGATAATAATTTTCCTGCACATATGTCTAATGATGCTTCAAACAATGACGTTACCTTTTTTCTGTTTATAATTATCGACCGTCAATGCTTCTATTCAATCAGTCAACATTTGCTTATTCATTCGGTCGAGAAAAAAATCCTTCTAGCTCTTTCTTGAATGATCTTTATTTCTTTATCAGAAAAACTTACAAAAGATGATAGTGTAAAATTCCTAATTCGTTTGATCTCGTCTCTCCCTAAACCTTCTGTACTGAAAAACGCTTAGCTCGATATGTTTACAAAATTCTTCTTGTCAAAGACGCTACGAGTAATGTTGGAGGGAAATTGACGTCTAATTTCTGCATTCGCGCGGTTTGAGGAGGGTGAATAGATGCAAGTTCAGCTAATTTCTTTTCCAATGCTTCTCCTAGGACTCATCAATAAAAAAATATATATATACTAAACAATTCCATCCATCTTATTTGTACATTTGTGAGCATTAGAGTATAGTGTCTGAATTTATTGAAATTGTGAATAAGTAACATTCATTTATTCATCATCAGCACACCAATATTGAGCATAATAATTGTAGCAATTATTATAGCAATGCAATTATTTGTGTGATGCTTCTATGATTAAATTTCCGGTTTCCCTAATAAATCTATATTTAAAAATTGTGAACAAGGGTATATGTCCAATCATCAAGGGAACCGTGATAGTAGTGCCAACAGCAATCCTGATCATTATTGATCGGTCCGTGTTATTTAATATCTTCAAAGGTGCCTGCAAATCACATATCTAAATCAAGAAACCATGTACCTTTAACCAATTTGTTTTGAATCCATACTATATGGCCTGTATATACAATAATATATTACGTTTAATCAATACCGACGTTATAATATTGAAAGAATTACTGTTATAATTATTCAAAAATTTACCTTCACACTGAACGATATAAAAGCTATTAGACTAAATATGATTGAAATTATTAAGGCGAGAGACTTCATGGTGAATATAAATGATACAGTAAATAGTTTGTGGATCTTGATAAAAATTCTCTTACTTCTTCCTAGTAAATTTAATGTTTATGTTTTTAATTATTCTGGATTCTATTCAAGATTTATTCTTCGGTGTACTTATTAAAAATTTACGGCTTATCCTCAAACGTTATTTTGCCATATCATAATGAAAACTTTATATTAATTAAACAAAGAAAATCTTTTTATTTGCTCATTCCTATATATATGTATTACTCTCATGATTAATTAAATTTTATATTCCGCACTAAATTATTCATGAAATAATTTTTCATATATAATTGTCTTTATGTCAAGAACATATATCATTACTCTAACCACACCATATCACTTCTGATTTAAGACACTAATTATATTAATAATAAAATGACAAGCTCCTGTCATAGAGGTCCGATCCGTGGATACAGATATGCAGATATCCGGATAGTAGTTTTAGGTGATGCACAGATATGTTGATATCTATCATGGATATCTGTGCAGATCTCATCCCCGTTCTTTTTTTATCAGATGACTCATTGCAGATCTTGATTGGACGATATTAATAATTTGCCGTACCATACCATTTCCAAAAAATCATTTACTTCTTAAAATTATTTAATTTTTATAGAATGGTGATTTAAATAATGAATTTTTTTTTTAGAGACAATTTATCACAGCTGGTGTGTTTTATATATAGATAATTATCCATCACGATTATTTCAGGAGTTTACGGATTATCCGTTCACGGATGGATATCCTGAAGATTACTTATCAGTTATATCGTCCAGATCTGGTTGATTTCACTGACAATCACTCTACCGAAAAACATACCTTTCTCCTGCTACGCAAAGCTATTTTCAAAGAAATTTTTTTTTTTTTTTGTTCATCACAGCTGAAAATAATGATATGAGGTAATAAAAAAATTTTGAGGCCATGTACTTACTAATAATTATAAACAAGAATAATATTAATAAAAGAACTTTTTTTTTATTTTTATGCGAAAGATATAATAATATATTTTATTTTTTTTTAAAGGTATTGCATTATGTCAATGAGCTTCCATGAAAAATATGGGAATCCCGACGGCTCAGAATCCCGTTATAACACAAGCCCGACGTTCACAATCCTGACAAATCGTAATTCCCGAAAGCTCAAAAATCCTGACCGATTTTTTTTTTAATTTTTTTTAGACGTAATAATTTTTTATATCTTGTAATGAATTAATATTTCTATTAATATCACGATGATGTAATAATTTTAAAATATTTCACAAGAATTAATATCTTTATTGTAAAATTATTATTTTTTTTTATTACATGTAATTTTCGCGACGTATTATTAATAAAAAATTTTTAATTTTATTAATTTTAATAATAAATATTTATAATAATAATTTTGGAAATGTGAACGTCGGGATTGTGTTATAAAGATTTTGATCATAAAGTTAATGATCTTTCCATGATTATAAATATATTAAACGATCTTATCAAAAAATATTAACAAATGGATCCTCTTAACAAATATAAAATATTAATTAAATAAAAAAGAGAGAAAAATATCAAATAGACTATCAATAAATATATATATATTAAACTATAAGAAACATTCATTTATGTATATCAATCAACAAGGGTATACGTTCCATTTTAAAGAATTTCCATGATAGTGCCAACAGTAATCCTGAGTATTATTGATCGGTCCGCGTTCTTTAAGTTGTTGTTGGGTGCCTAAAACGTCAAAAGAAAGGTAATACTGCGGATAATTATTAGGTACATTCAAATGGTAGCCTTTATGAGCAGATGCCGTTTGCTCATCAATTACGCCGCCATCTCTTCGTTTGAGGGCAGTAGATATAGACACTGTGCCTCTAACCAACTTGTTTTGAATCCATATTAAATAGCCTGTATAAACAATATATTAGATCTAATCAATGTGTTAAATATTGAGAGAATACTATTATAATTATTCAAAAACTTACCTTCAGTGAGCGATAGAAAAGCTAGACTAAAGATGATTGAAATTATTAAGGCGAAAAACTTCATGGTTAATATAAATGATACAGAGTATAGTTTGTGGATCTGGTAAAAATTCTCTTACTTCTTGCTAGTAAATGTTTATGTTTTTAATTATTCTGGATTCTATCCAAGGTTTATTCTTTGGTGTATTTATTAGAAATTTATGGCTTATCCTCAAACGTTGTTTTGCCATATATTAATGAAAACTTTACAAAAAAGGCGTCCTTTTTATTTGCCCATTCCTTGTGAATTAACTATTTGGATGCCATACTAAATTATTCATGGAATAATTTTTTATACATAATTGTCTTTATGCCAAGAACTGTATCACACACGCTATATGATTTCCGCAACTCCTATAATAATAAAAACTTTAGTCACATTAACAATTAAATGTCAAGTTTCTGAAGATTATCCATTTATTTCAAAAGGGGGATTATCTACTTGTATAATCGTCAAAAATCTCTGTCCGGCAGTCTGGGGCTCACTAACAATTACTTTACCGAAAACTCTTCTCCTATGGTCAAAGAAAATTGAATACATTTTTTTTTGTCCATCACAGCTGAAATAATAATGGATGAGATAATAAAAACATTTAAGGCTATAAACATACAGGTGCCACCGCCGTTATAACGACATCTCATTATAACGGCATATTATTGCATAACGACATACCATTTTTTGGATTGGATCCCTTTGATGTTGTTATATAAACAAGGTATCCGGACTTTTCGCCATTTCACCACCACCGACCCAGTAAATAGTTTTTGTATATATTTGTACCAAAAAACTATTTACTGGTCGAAGGGACATTTCGCCGAAACCCATTTCACCGAATTCCATTTCGCCATTGGTTATTTTATTGTTTTTTATTTTATTGTTTTTATACTAAATACATAAAGAAATGTTTTCTAGAAAAATTTTTGAATTAGCTGATTTTTATTAAATTTATCTCGTTGTTTATTATATTAATAGTCTTTTTTTTACTTGCTTTTTCGGGAAGTAATGTTTTCAGGAAAATAAAGATATTTATTTATTTCTTAACAATTAATATCAGTAACTTTAATGTTAAAGTGATAGTATCGCTACCATTTTCGGCGAAATGTCCATTTGGCGAAATGGAATTCAGCGAAATAGAAGATTCGATGAAATGGATTCGATAAAATGCTCTTTCGGCGAAACGTCCTTTCGGTGAAATATCCCTTCGGTGAAATGGCTTCGACTAAATGAGTTTTGGTGAAATGGATTTCGGCGAAATGTATCGTAACCGTTATATAGTAAAATATAATAAATCACATAAATCACATTATAATGACAGTTAGAAAAAATTTACTAATGGCCCGAAGAGTGTCGTTATAACGGGCGGCAGTTGTATTAATAATTATTAAATAAGTACAATATTAGTAAAAGAATAATTTGTTTTTATTTTATACGAAATGTATAAGAATATATTTATTTTTTTACTTGATTTTATTATAATAACTAAAAGGTATTGTATATATCAATAAGTCCCGTTATAACATAAGCGCAATCCTGACAAATCGCACTCATTATTCCGACACTTATTATCTTTTTTTAATTTTATTAAACATGATTATAAAATATACTAGGAGACAGAGACTGTTGATTAAAAAGATATTAATTACATCATAGAATCAAAGGTAATACAAATATAAAACTATAAACTAAGTCATCTTAGAGAACCCAAAGATAACTTCGCTCTGGTGGAAAGAAAAAGAAAGGTACTATAAAAACGACAAAGGAGTATTTGAAATACTAGTATCCCATCCTGAAGAATTAGTTGACTAAAGAAAAAGAGAAAACCAAAACTAAATAAATTTCATAAAAGAAGCAGTTTAAAATAAATGAAGATCTACCCACCAAAATTTGTGACAAAAGAGATTTGAAGAAGCCGTCTAAAAAAAAGAAAAGAAAAGAAAGGAAAAAAAGGATTTTTTTTTTTTGCAAAAGAAGAATGAAAGATATTAAAATTTTTGAAATAAATTTTTCTTATGAAAAGAGAAAAAATAAATCAAAGATGAAAATAAAGTGATTTCAAAATCAATTCCCAAACATGGAGGATCGGCAAAATTAAAAAACTATTATAATAAAAAAATGCATATCCGCCGATTTGCGGAATTTGCCGATCATCAATTATGTGGCGCAGTACCGATTAAAATCGATCAAAACGTAAGAAAAAATGTTAAACTTAATTTACCTAATTTTTATTAAATTATTGTCAAATTCCTTAATTTAGACGAATTTTGTTAATTCCGCAGATCGGCGGATATGGATCATCAAATTTACCAAAAAAATAATTAAAAAGAAAATTTGATAAAAGCACCAAATTCTCCTATCACGTTTAGAAAGTATATGATTCTTTTTCTTATGATCAAAGAATTATTTCTGTTTAAAAAATGTTTGTCATTAAAAAGAGATTTAAATTATATCAGATATGGTATCCGGACTTATCCGGACTTTTCACCGAAATGACGTTTCGCTGAAAAATTATTTATTCCATTTGGTTATTTTATTGTTTTTATACTAAATAGATAAAGAAATGTTTTCTAGAAAATTTTAAATTTCAGGAAAATAAAGTTATTTATTTTTTTTTTAACAATTAATATCAGTTACTTGAATATTAAAGTGATAATATCCTGAAAAAAACAAAAATCTCTAAAAATAACTTAATTTTTATTTTTATCGCTGCCATTTTCGGCGGAATTCGGAGAAATGGACGATTCGGTGAAATGGATTCCCTATAAAAACGACATGTTTTAAATTCGGTTTATATTTGTGTTCAAGTGTAAAAAACGTCTGAAAAAGCACCATTTTGTCCAATTTATGTCTCATGATAAAAAAAAACAAAATGGTGCTTTTTTGGGCATCTATTACACATGAGCACAAATTAACACATTTCACTTTCGGCGAAACGTCCTTTCGGCGAAACGTCCCTTAGGTGAAACATCCCTTCGGCAAAATGGCTTCGGTGAAATGGATTTCAGTGAAATGTACCGCAATCAAATTAGGTTAATTAGGTTACAAAATTATGGATTATGTAATAATTTTTACATTGTTAGTTAGCGCTGATATAAAATAACTTATTAATACTGTATTAATTTTATGAAAAATATTGATAAAAAAAATTATTTTTTATTGAAAGTATATCTTAAATTAAAATATATATATAAACAAGAATAATACTGTAAAATTAAAAACAAATTTTATCTACTTAATTTTGCATAGATATTTTGGATTTACCTGGCGATCATCAAGAATCCTGTTATAACAGCTCAGGATATTAAAAAATATTATACTGTATCTTTATATACAAAAATTTAACATTTTTATTTAATAAAACAAAAAACTGAAATTCATTATTAAAATTAATAAATATTAATAAAAATATTAATTTTTTAAAATTTTACATACTTGATATTAATAGAAATAATAATCGTTACAAATTATTACGTCTAAAAAAAACGTAAAATTAAAAAAAAAATTAAGTGTTGAACTTTCGAGATTATGATTTGTCAGGATTGTGAGCATTGTGACTTGTGAGCGTTAGACTTGTGTTATAACGGGATTCTGATCGTCAGGATTTTGAACGGCTCCCAGATATTTTGTACAATAATATTCAGTTATTATTACTAAGATATTGCCTCACATGGGACTATATTACTACTATATTCCACTTAGCTTCTCATCGCTCAATAACTCTGTATTTAAAATGAATTTTTCTTTTTCTTCTCGGATATGTAGCACCCTGCGTTGAATTTCCATAATAACTTATTGATCTTCATTGACTTTATTTTATTACGCTATTAATTCGACACTTAAGGAGAATTGAATAAATTATTATTATTAGAATTTAGATTATATTGATATTTCATTATTATCATTTCTTGTTTATAGTTTTTTTTTGTCCAGATAATTTCGTATTTGGCCAATCTGGCGCTGGAAACAATTGGGCTAAAGGATACTATACTGAAGGTGCTGAACTGGTTGATTCTATCCTAGATGTTCTTCGTAAAGAAGCGGAATCAACTGATTGCCTTCTTGCAATTTGTGTTATTTGTACTCTATTTTAAATGAGGAGTACTTACTTGAGATTTTTATTGAAAAAAAAAAATATTATTAAAATAAAAAATCGGTAGTCCAATTAATACGGCGTAATAATGGTTGTATTTTGTCTTTACTATTAATTTAGTTTTTCTCATTATGTTTTAATTATTAGAAAAAGAAAAAAAATAAAACTAAAAAAGAACAGATCATTAAAGTCTATTTATAGTTAATGAAACTAAGCCACAACTATTAATTCATAATAACATTAATTAATGTTAATTATTAGTGGTCTAAGCCACATTCTTCATTTTTAAAATATATTGTCTTTAATTAACTTTTTATTTTAAATGACAAATAAAAATATTCAGTTGTTAATATGTAATAAAGTACATAATATAATATATTTATTAGTTAATTAGGATATAATAAAACTTTTACAATTATATAATGAAAATTTACAATTTATTCTAATGCATATAGAATCTACCCACATAATTTTTGATATAGAAATCATATGTGGATCGATCTATGCAACACTTAAAATAAATACACCCTCCATTATGATATTTAAACTGCTATATATTAAATTTGAATGATTTAATGATTATTAGCGCAAATGTTAATTCCCCGCAGTATTTAGCAATATATTATTTTATGATAAACATAGTTACGCCATTATGATCGAAATTCGGGCACACGACGTCTTTGCGCCTTACCTGTTTTTGCGATTTATTGGTTTAAATTATTTAAAATTAATAAATCAATCATTTTAGAAAAATACCCTTCGTAATGAACGACAATATTTTATTTTACCTACAACATGCAGTTAAATGCACTTGGCAACAAATAACTAACGGTGCTTCTTATCAGTAACCGTGTCCAACGACACTTTATTTAATAATAGTACTAGGTCACATGAATGTTATACTAAATCAGCATTCGGCAAAATTTAACGCCGATAACATTGCCAATGTTCATGTGAAACGCCTGGATCACTTTTCTTGGAAAAATTGTAAGATGAAAGAATTCTTCCGATGAAACTGAACACAAATTGTGAATTCACGGAAAATTAAATCTATATCTCTAGATGTTAAAATGCAGTACATACCAACATGAATAATTTTTTTGTATTTAAATATAAATATTCATTTAATCTAGTACAACACCTCCCAAACAAGAAATGAAAATTAATTTTGTATAAATTTCAAACTAGAATTAATGCGGGTTCATTGAACAATCAGTATTGATGATTTGTTTGTTGTTCAAACTTATTCAATAGGAATGTAGATCTTTTATGTACGATTTGAACAATCAAAATTAAAACTAACCATTGTATTTTGACAATAACAAATAAATATCTTTGTAGCAACACGAATTACATATGTCAAGTGTGATTTACTAATGAGTTTTAAAAATAAAACAGAATTTTTGATAAACAGTTCGAATGAATAGTTTGTAATTAAATAGATAAATTTTTTTTTTTTTAAACGATTGGAGCCATGGCTTCGAGCCTTCGACCAATATTTTTTCGCAGAACATTTGCATTATCCTCTGCTTAAAATTTACGCAAATTTGTGGCTGAAATTAATTCTGGCGCCATGTACCGTAAGAATTAATGCAATGTCTTTATTGTATTTTGTCCTAGCTATTTTTAGAAAATTTTCTTTGTGCATTTTTTTGCGCCGTAAAATGTTTGTTTGTTCTTTTGATAATCCTAAATCGGAATGTTTTTTTTTTTACCTTAGAAAAAATATGTTAATGGTTAACAAGGTAGATAGATATAAACTTTTTTTTTTGATGATACAGCTTATGCAATTTTAACGCCACATGGGAAACTAAAGAAAAATAAAAATTCTTTGTTTACATTGCAACAGATGTTATCACAATATGACCAAATGCGTCATTTTAACTTTAAAAAAAAAAAAATTAAAATAAAGAAAACCGATTTAATTGGTGCTAATTCGTACAAAATATCACCTTCGATAAGTACAGTTTTATTATAATTAAAAATTTTTTCTGGAAAGGAATTGATACACAACGCAGAGCTAAAGCCTAGTACAGTATACGCCAAAAAAAATCGGGCATAGAAAAAGAAAAACTCTTTCTCATTCGAATAATTAATGCATGATTCTATGTAATATATTATAACATTAAACTTTTTTTTCTTTTAATATGAATCTCGTCTCACGTCTTACGACATCAAATCCCCACAAAAATTGAAAACATTATCAAAGTAATTTTTCTACGAATCGTAATAAGCATTTAAAATTGTTGCACTATGTACTTACTATTCGGGGATTATTGAAATTGATTAAAAATAGTAATCACAAAAGATTTTTTTGAAAAAAGGCGCGATTAAAAATATATTAGCATTGGAAAACAAATTCCGAAGGGTATGACTTTCTTTCATTAATATCTTGCCAAACATTTATGATAAATTTCCTCAAATCATTGTTTCTGTATCACAATGCTTTTGTAAAATTGGTAGACAAAATAAAAAGAAAAATTATAAAAACTCAATATTTTCTTTTCGAAAAAAAAAAAATTATTCTCTCATCATCATAGATAAAAATATTAAATCACTATTCCTTACTAGTACTTAACCCTTTATTACCAGTAGAAATTTTTCATTATACCATTTTTAATCCAAATGCAATACATTGGTGATGAAATTAAGATAAATATTTTCAAATATGTCAATTATCCTCTCAATTTAGCATTAACTTGTCGTAACTGGTCAGTTTTTATCAAAAACCCATATGCTAAATCTGAATGGTTGATTGTAAATTACGGGAAAGAACATTCATTATTTTATGCAATAAACTTAGGCCCCACTTTTATTGATATAGCTGTATGCCAAACTTTAATTGCAAGAGATATTATAGTATTTACAAGATATTTTACTCAAAGATTGATTCAACTCAAAATAGAATATAACGATAATATTAATCAAATTGGTGCTGATAGATTGTCATATGTGAGCAATTTACCAGTATCCGTATTCATCTATTTATTTAACGAAGGATACAAACAATTATCTACCAAAAATTTAACATCTAAATGCAATGATATTCACGCTATTCCTCGAAGTCTTCACGTAATAAACAATTCCCTAGGAAGAAACAATCTAAAATATATCGAAAATTTAATTTTAAATAAACGATCCACCCTGTTTCTTCGTAGACCCAAAGTATCTCTTCCGGATTTAAATAGTAATCCCAAACAACTCAAGGATGGTTATCCTTTGCGACAAGAAAGTTTTTCAAGGTAATATTATAAAAGTCACAACTTATATATAATTAACATTCCCTTTTTCTTTGCCTTAATAACTTTTCTTTACTTACAATAATATATTTATATAAAATAAAATAATATAGGCAATATATCCAAACAAGACCTGTAACTGTCTTTACTCTTTTCACTAATAACTTTGGGTCACCTATTGCACAACTTTCAAGAAGCATTAATCAAAGAAGGCATAATCAACTTAGAAGACGACGAATCATAAATAGAAGCTACCAAAGATATCGACGCAATGCATCAATAAATAATGAAGATACATTGAATCGAATTGCAAACCTTCCTCGACAAATTACAAATGATCCATTGATACAACAATTCTTCAATGGTTCTTCGTTCATTTAAAAAAAACTTCTCAAACAAACGAAGAATTACTTGTTATTTCATAATAATTATGGTTGTAGTATTTGATATACTAAAAATTATTAAACTTTAATTTAGATAAAAAATGAAAGAGAAATAAATATCAAAAAAAAATTTATATTTCGTAATTTATACGCAATAATTACTAGCTACAGTACATATGTAAAATGTGTAAAGTGAACAATCGATTTTTTTAAAAAATTTTTAGATAGAATGAAAGGGACATATGTAAAAAATAGCAATTTATAAAAGAATTTTTTTTTTTTGTATTGTTCAAATAAGATTATTAATATTCCGAAGCCAAATATTCATTGACAATGAGTCATACGTACGTATTGATCATCATACTCATCATACACAGTCCATTATAGGTTGTAGGCTATTCAGTACTAGTACGAATTTGTCAAATCTGTACGGGTACGGTTGATCAAATTTCCCACAAATTCCGTACCGTACTTGTCCTATATATTATATTATAGGCAAGGATGGGGGTTAATTAACTGTTACGCAGAATTTTATGAGATTTGTACAGTATTACTAATGTAAAATTAGATAAATTCCTGCAAATTCCATGGGAATCCCATCACTAATTATAGGACAAGTACGGTACGGTACGGAATTTTGAAATTTTTGGAAAAATGATCAACAGTGTTTTCAAAATCGTACCGTACTGAATATCTATATACAGTTTACCCTTCCTATAGCGAATTTTTATATAACGAATCACGTGACGCTTAGCCAATAAAATATGTCAATTTTCCCTAAGTAACCAATCAAATTCTTCAAATTCTTCGTTAACTTGCTATAACGAATTTGAGGTGCAGAACGGTTTCTTCGCTATATCAAGGGTAGACTGTAGTCCATTATTCGTAAGTCTGGATGAGAATATTCTATTGGTGTCCTATAATTGGCCTAAAATGTTACGAAAAAGGTTTGACCCATGTCCCTCGGAGAATATTGATAGGCTTCAATGTATGAAACAAATAATTTAAAATTCGATCTAATGTATACACCAAAAGCAAGGGGCATGAAACGTTATTTGGGAAAAAATTGTTTGTACTGTATAGAATAAGAAAATTTGAAAGTTTATTTACTTATATCTTACAAAATATTGCACGAAATTTAATAAAAACTTTAATTGATAGTTTAATTAACATAAATATATATATAATGTGAACAAAATTGTTTCTACAATTATTTATATTCTTTTGATAAATCACTATAAGTAATTCACTGACATTGTGTTTAGAAGAGTCCAACTTCAATTTATAAAGCTTTTATGTATTGCGAGTATCCTCTGAAGTTAACGTCGACAAGTCGAAACTGCTCGGTTTATTGCCAACGATTCATAAGAATTGTTCATAATAAATCATGAGAAGGTTCATCAATTATGCCTCGTTCAAACCATATGTTAAGTCCGGATGGTTGACAATAACTTTCTACTTTGATTTATGATTAATTGTAAAATTGGAAAGTATTGAAGACATCACATGATTTCTCAGAACACAATGTCGATCAAAATCATTGTTCTTTCTTCGGCAAACAATTTGCCTATACAGTCGACCCTTATATAATCACACCGTTCGGGATCAAAAAAATGGTGTGATTATAAAAATACTATATGGTGTGACTAAAGAGGGGGTTTTATAAAGTAAATGTGCTTATAAAGGGGATGTGACTATATCTGGATGACTATAGAAGGGGGCTACAAATGAAAGAATGATCGTCACTTCAAAGTCTATCATTATTAAAATCAAAAAATAATCTATCGATTCATTTTTTATTGAAGATTCATTTAAATACCTCCGTTAAATTTCTTTTACAAATATTCAGTTATTAATCAATAATTCACATTTTTCAATAATATTCGTTCGAATTCTTGAAAAACTTAAGTAACTAATACTACGAAACGAATTATTCTTTATAAATTTATTAGCATTAATGCTTAGAATATACTCGAGGAATTGAACGAAACATTATTTTAAAATAAATATAACTATTAAGAACGGGGATTTAAATTTTTTACGATCAAACAATGAAAGACTATATACGGAATTACGGATAAGGGCGTGTAGTCATGTGATTTATAATAAGACTATCAATGGCGCAAAAATTTAAATATGAAGAGCCCAAGAACTTGGTTAAAACCGTCACGTGATAAAATTAAAAAATTTTTTAAGGATACGTTATGTTCCTTACGGCGTTGGTTATTAGAATTAATACTACGCCTTTTAGCTTTACTTATGAACCACACGGATGCCACTGAGTCATTAACTAAATACTTACAGACTCATTTATATAGGTGGCACCTTTTTTCAACGCTCCGACCGGAGGACCTTTATACCCACTTCTTCTAAACGAAAGTTTAGTCATTTCGGCACCTTATTATATAGTTACTTCTGCCAATGTTTTTATTTTTTCTTTTTTTATCCCCTAAGTCCAATTTCTCTAGTGTCAGGTGGGTGGAAATGCTTCGGCTGATCCCTCACGGTCCTTTTTAATTTCGCACCAGGGTGGCGCTGTCTTCGGGCGGTTTGATTATAGCATAGTTTAGATAGCGTTTGGCTTTTTTTTTAATTAGTTCTTGTCTATCTTTCTGTAATCTTGTTCACATGGATAATAAAAATAAAAAATAAATGAAAAGCCCAAGAACAAAGCACTTTAGTTTGAATAATTATGTAATATTTTGTTATTATTTTTGTAGACATGTGAAAACATACCTATAGAATTCAAATATGTTAAATCAATAAATGGTAAAATGCTTTTTTTTAAAAAAAATAATATTATATTTTCCAGTAGAGAGATTCTAAACTTTCACTAAGCGATTCGCAAACTTTTTGGAACTTCTTTTGATATTTTCTCCAAAATATAATATTTGAGTCTAAATAAAAACTATATCTGGTAAACCCTCAAATTCCAAAAGGTAAGAAAATAATATATACTTTTAATATTTGGTAATTTACAAATGTTTTATATAGACACGGACGTACTGAATAGCACAAAAATTTTTTTGCGCCATAATAGTCAATTAAAAGTCACGTGATTACACACTCCCCTTAAAACGTGGATGATCATGGTCTTCTCACCTACTCACTTTCATACCCCTATAAAAAAAATTCTAGATAAAATTAGTTTTTATTCCGAAGGGTACAAACGAAGGGATAAATTGTTTTTCCCAAAAGGCTGATAATACAGATGAGGTGATTGGCATTGCAAATTGTAACGTGCACGTGATTAAATCTTCTGATTTGTAGTTAAGCGTATCAACCGCACCTATTCCATTAACTCACATCTCTAATTCTTCAGATAGTTCTTCCAGAGATTTCGCCCAAGGCTAAGATGAATATACCATCAAAACCTCAGATCAAGGTAAGTGTAAACTCGCCGATTTCTATGACTAACCCAAATAAGATGGAATGTCTTTATCAGATATGGTATCGATCCTAAGAAATTTTTGATCGTTACTGAGGTTGAGAAAAAAGACTAACCTTCCATGGTGACTTGAAAAGAGATAAGGTTTTATCATGGTACAATAGAGACACAACGGCTGAAATGAAAATCCCAATAATTGCTTGATAGTAATTTAGTTTGAATTTGAAAGTGAAACAATGACTCCTCAGCACTAAGAATGTAATTATTTATAATAAATTTTCTTATTTAAATTAATGCATATTAATCGTTAGAAAAAAATTTATTATTCAACGATTTTGATATATACTAAATTTACTTTAATACTTGACTCTTCATTTAAATATGAGTTTATAAAAAAGTTATAGTGAAAAGAAAATATTTGGTAATTGGTTAAATGAGACCGCTACTATTCGAAATCACAACCCTGTATGTGTAACCGGCAAATAAATCTGGCTACCACTTTTCAGTCGATGCTAGAGTCATTAAGTGCGTAAGCAAAAGATATGTGATCATAATTTTTTTTAAAAAAAGTTTTTTATTATTACGAAGCAACAAAAGAATATTTTTCTTGGCCGGTTTATTAATATATTACGCTAAAAATAAACTTACTGCGGTATTTTTTTTGCACTTGCATTCCAGGTGCTCGATTCACATGACCGTTTATGTCAATGGCACATCAAAAAACAGAAATGTATAATAATTTCTAGGATCTTCCTTTGTCGGACCGATTCTCGATATCCATTTTCCCGACGTACAGTACAACAATGATTTCCTGACAAGATAAATTCCCGAATGGAAAATCACTTTTTCCTGACATGATATTATCCTGACGAAATATATCCCGAAAGACATTATCCTGACATGACATTTCCCCAAAATAAAGTACAAAAAAATGATTTACAAAAATACTTGATTTTTACTGCGAAAAAATAAAAAATATTTGATTTTTTATAATAAATAAATAAAAATTTATTTTAATTTTTTTTTTTATTAATGAAAAATGAATTTATTCTTTTACAATTATTACCGCATAATTTATCTAATTATATTGCATTTTTTTTTAAATTGAAATAATTTTAATAATTTTTTTTTTAAACATAATTACAATTTCACGTATTAAATTAAAATTACGTAATTTATTTTTATTTAAATTTGATAATTTATATACTGTAACTAATAAATTCTGGTGATATTTAGATTAGCACTAAAAATTATAAATTAATAAAATTAATAACAAGAAAATAGATTTATCAGAGGGGAGCTATATTAAAAGGTTTTATTATTATAGTTATAACCATGTGTTATCCAGATTTTGTCATGATGTTGCTCTGCCCATGGTATGGTCCCATCCTAAATACTGCATCCGATCAATGATTTAGTTCAAAAAATGCTTGACATTTTTTTTATTTAAAAAGTTCTATTGCAAAAGCATCAATTTGGTATAAAATTCTCTTGGATAATTTGTCAAGTATTTTATATAACGAAACATATATAGTAATAGCTTTTCTTAGTTTTGTATTATTTTTAGTATTTTTCTCTGATTTGTTGTAATAAACTAGGAAACGGGAACCGTTGTAAGTCCGGAGCGAGGTATAATAAATAAAGATTTAGCGATATTCTACTAATTAGCAGCATAACGCCTTGGAATTCCGGTAATTTTCTGCAGATTAGCAGCATAACGCCTTGGAATTCCTGGACAGAGAAACTCACGTGATTGAAAATTTACACGTTATTTCCATAGATCATCATAGTGCGTAGACATATATAGTCCTTCGCTTCGCTCCGGACAATAAAATTCCGTCGATCTGCAGAATGCATTGGCGGTTTTTATATATATAATATGCATTCTGCAGATCGGCGGATATGAATATGCAAACTCTACCTTATCTCTACTTATAGATAGAAAAACTTTTATCTTTGGTGTGTAATAATTTGTGGAACACCATCTTTGCTTTTGAACGAATCAAAGAATTTTGATTTATTAAAATTATCTTTCTTTTTTTTTTTAATTTTGTCGATTTTTTCTTCGTTTATATTATTTATAAATTCATTTTTTTATTTTTTTTCAACTTTTAATTTTGCAATTATTTAATTTTATATTAATATAAAATTTTTACAATTTATGAGCCTAGGAATTTTATTATTCATTTAATTATGTTATTTATTTCATGTCAATGTTTTGCATAATATATATGCATGTAATATACTTAATTAATATGTTAAATAATTTTTAAATAATTTTTAAATAAGGAATTCTATGTATCTAAGTATGCTCGTATCTAATAATATAGATATAATAAATATGTATAATACATTCGTTTTTTAATATATTCGTTTAGTCCAATATCTTCTTTTAATCCTACGTATAAAATAGCAAATGTCAGATCATGCATGAAACTCGCTAAGACTAATGAAGCATCATACTTACAAAATTTAATGATAACTTGTCTGTTGTGTAACGGAAAGAACTTCCATAAAATAGTTGGTACGCAAAAGGATCTTTTGCATCTTGTAAAGGCAATTGTTCAATGAGATTTATCGTGTCTGTGTTATTCTTGATGCGGACTTTCGCACATCGTTTTTGTCGTCGTTTTCTTATTTTGTAATTATTCGGGGACATTTTTTGTAAAAGTAAGAAGTTAAAACTAAAGTTTGAAAAAAGGTAAAAGTTCAATAATAGGAACTTCTCATCTGTATTTATAATTTAGATTACGGTTTATACATTCAAAATGGGACCGCATATAATGATGTAACACATGTTGATCTGGCAAAAACAACCATTCATAATGTATATGTGATAAATAAGGAAATAAAGAAAAAGTAAATCATTATTGATGAAATAAAATATTATTTCATTATCCGTTAAATAAATGAATTTATAATTTATTAACTATTTTTTATCCTAAACATCATATTACTGATTACAAATAAACCTCTGAAACAGTTACACAAAGACTTTCATCAGTTTGTTAATACAGATGTCATTATACAATACTTCATAAGATTTTCAATAATTTAATATACGATTATTTCTTTCACGAAAGTTCTTTTGTGTACTCATTTTCTTTGTTTTACTTATCAGTTATCCATTAAAACCTCGGACTTTAGCACTCCTTTCGAAAGTTATATGATTACTTTCGGTTGTTAGCCATCTTTGTCTAGATCAAAGGATCTTGCCGGCTTTAAAGAATTCCATATGAATATTTCTTGAGTATTCACCATTATAAATTCTTATCAAAATTAAATGATCTAAATAACATTTTTATGTTTGACTTATGTTTGATTTTACGATAATTATTGATAATAGGATCTGGTCGGATCTAGTATATTTTCATTAACTGTTGATGAAGAGAATATTTGGATGAAAGAATATAATGAAAACAAAATGCCAAAATGCATGCGATAAATTTAGTGGTACGTGATATCAAAATAATTGAATGAACAATCTTCATGCGAGTATTTGCGTATTCTATCAACTGTTGTTGGTATTGATGATCTGATGATCTTAATTACCTGAACCTTACGGCCATCTGCTAGTGTTTCTAATCTTTTGCTTTTATCTTCTCCATTATTTTTAAGTTCTCCATTACCATTATTATTTTTAGGTCTCTGATTTATCAGAAAAATTTGAAAAATTTTAAAAATAGGAAAGAAAAGGCGTTCCATCATCACGCACCATCATCCACAGATCCTCCATTATCATGTTTATCCTACAGAAAAAAAAAACATCTATAATACATGTAATAAATTGTAATAATTTTTCATTTATATATTATAATATTAAATAAATTACATAACTCTTGTAAATAATAATAATATTCGTCAGATTCTGAATCAGCAATTTATTTGTCTTCTTGATTCAAAAAACGATCAATAGAAAGACTTCGGTTACACAATCTGCTTCAAAATTTTGCTTATACTATGTGGTAAAAACATGCATGGGAAATTGTAAATAATTCGTAAAGGTGAATTTTAAAATAAATCTTCAATAATTAAAATTTATTTAATAATCAAAATAAACAATTCAAGCATATAAAAGTCGGGACGATAATCATTATGCATCCAAAGCTCCATTGCTTTTTTACAGCAGGTGTTGAGCAATAATAATATTATTATTTCATATATATTTGAATAAGCAAAAATAGGTCAGAAAATTGATAAATTTTATCAGCTAAGACGACGTATAAGCAATAGATATATAATATATATTACTCAAAAGGGATGTCAAGTACACCACTATTACTAAGCGAAATAAGAAGAAACAATTATTTCTTGATTGGATATGTGAATAATAATAATTGAAATTTTATTAGGATTGATTTGTATATTCGTATATTATAAAATAACGTAAAATATCAAACTTATTCTGAATAGTGCAAATAAAATTGAATAATGTCTGTACATTTCGTCAAATTAAAATGCCATTTTACCAAATAATATACGTTCAATAGATAAACATATATCTAACAAGTTTTATCCATTTCCTCCGTCTTATGGACCGCCTGGACCGCCTGGACCTCCGTCACCTCCTCCTGGACCTCCGTCACCTCCTGGACCGGGACCTCCGTCACCTCCTGGACCTGGACCTCCGTCACCTCCTGGACCACCATCTGATCCATCTGTCCCGTCCGTCCCGTCTGTTCCGTCTGTTCCGTCTGTCCCGGGACCTCCTGGTCCTGGTCCACCGCTTGTACCGTCGTCTGGGGGTGTTGTAGGCGTAGTAGAATCCGTGGGCGTGGGACTGGGCGTGATGGTAGAATTGTCAGTTTGTCTTTTTTGGAGACCAGTATCGATTCGTCTCGTTAGTGGTGATGCGAAATTAACGGTAATAAGTAATGCAGCAAGTACTACAATGAGTACAAGTGCGTGCTTGTGTTTAAATCCAATATTAAACATGTCGAATATTGTAAATTAATTTTAATCAAAATCTCTTAGGTGCTGATTTCATAAAAATATGGGTGTATTTATACATTTTTTTCTTTCAGCAAGTTGATAAATAATTAAAAATATAAAATTCGAAAAATCTTCTGTTTGTTGTAAATTTAGAAATGAGGCAATGAAGATAAGCCTCATTACTAAATTTACAAAGAAACTAAACAATTTATAATATTTCTAGCAATTTTGTATATAATAAAGAAATAAATTTTAAGGAAATTTCATTGATAAAAAGGCTTTGATTAACTGGATACAAGAAGAAATTGCCGTTCATTTATAAACAAAAATGTATTAGACCATAAAAATATTTTTTTCAAAGTTTGATAGAAAAATTCTTAAAATTGGTCGATCAATTACAAATTTAAAAATGAGGCGATGCAATGTTTATTATAAGCCTCGTTATTAAATTTTTAATCCGGGGTCATTATAAAAAACAAGGTTTAAAAAATCTTTTCCATTAAAAGAAATTTCAAATAAAAAAATGGGCTTGGATTGACGGATATTATAAGAAAAGAAAAATATATATCATTGATATGCATGTATTAGCTTAACTTTAAACTTTTATGTGTTAGTATGAAGTCTTGGCGTCTAACTTAAACTTAATTATGCAAGATTGTTTTTATTTTGTTAACATATATCCTAATAAAAAAACCAATGAAATAATTAAAATAAAATGGTAAAAATCGGCGATCTAAAAATAGGATCTGATCGACCTGCCAAGACTTTAAGCCCAAAGATTGCCAAGAATCAACTCTTAAATATATCCAAGATAGGTCGATCCATCTAGTGATTGTTACTGGTAAATATACGGATAATATCGTATTCCTCCGAAAATAAGCAACAAAATTTTATTATAGTTTGAAAGAAACTGATAGAATTTTCGATTTTAACCAAATTTATATAAGTTAATATTCATTTAGATTATTTCTATAAAAAATTTATTCCTGATTTTTTTTATTTTGTTATTTCTATAAATGTATCTCATTTACGGGATTTTATAGCCTCAAAAACATGGAAATTATCCAAGATGGTTAGATTTTTTAGTTATTTTTTTCCGTAAATATATCATATTCACAGAGTTTTTGCAGAAGTTACGGATAAAATTTTTTACAGGGTATATTATATTTTTACTGCAAAATTAATTAAATATTTGGGAATTTGAGTTGCATACTTTCGGGATTGCCTATTTTCGGAAGAATACGTTCAATCTTTCACTTTCATATCAAGTTATATCTTTAAATACAGAACCCCGTTCACAAACGAACAATAAAATTGTTTTCGCTAAAACTATAGGTCTCAAGAGTTTAATCATGCAGATTGAAGTAATGCCAGGCAGAATTACGTAGTGCCGGCCCTATGATATTTCGTATTGCAAACATGTGATATGTAGCGTGTGCCGATCTCCTTTCGGGTCCTGTACCAACACGTGTTTTTCGTGGGTACTAAAACGGGTCATTAAATCTTTGTGTTTTGCATACTTTACAAAATATAGCAAAAACTTTTATCGAAAAATATAAAATATATATACAGTATACTGTGTATATATATATATATATATTATCTGCTTCTTACCGGATAACAGGATTTATATAAGTACAAACACTGGATCCTGTCCATAAACTGAAGAAATTTCTGAAGCTTGCCAAAATTTCTTTGGAACCTACTGTATGTTCTGGTATTATTAATAAATGACACGACTAACCAATAGGATTCAAATTGTTCTGTTTCGGCCATCTACATAATCTCTATGAAAAAATGCGAAAGTTTAATTTACAGTATTCCCTATAAGAAATATGTATACGGAAAGGATACGTTTTGTATACATTTTATGTACGTTTCTATAGATTCCGTATACAAATTCCGTATATTTAATAAGCAATTCATTTTTTAAAAAACTAACGTATACGAAATGTATACGGAAAAAATTAATCATGCGGAATGTATACGGAATTTTTAAACTTAATATTTTTAGAAGATAATTTTACAAAAATCCCGTATCATAACACGAGATCACGTGATTGTTTATATGATACGTTTTTTTGTTTTTTATATAAACGATGAGTTTGATCTTCCTTTCTGTCTTTCCTTTCCTTTCTCTTTTCTCTTGTCTTATTTTTGTTATTTTTTCTAAATTTTTCTTCTTTCTTCGTCACCCCTCTTTTAAAAAAAAAGTACTTCACTTTAAAAAAAAATTTTTTTTCGTTACTCTTTAAAAAAAATTTTTTTCATCACTCCCTTAAAAAAAAAAATTTTTTTTGATTTATTCTTTTATTCCCACTCTTCTTTTTTTTAAAAAAATTTTCTCTATTTCCTCTATAAAAAATTTTTTATTTTTCTAACTTTGACGTCCTCCCTTTAAAAAAATTTTTTTAACTTTCCTAACTTCGTTATCCCTCTTTTTAAAAAATATTTTTTTTGATTTATTCTTTATTCCCCTTACTTTTTTATTTATATTTATCCCTTTTTTTATTTCTAGGCCAGCAGATTTTTTTTTGTGAGAAGATTCAGTTTCTTTTTTCTTTTTTGTAGATCAGTTTGGGAGTCCTTTCCTTTTTGTAGGATGGTTCAGGATTTTTTTCTTTTTTTAGGTGTTCAAATTTTCTTTTTTTTTGTAAGTTGGGTTCAGATTCTTTTCTTTTTGTAGGTTGTTTCAGTTTTGTTGTTTCAGTTTTGTTGCTTCTGAGTCTTCTTTTTTTGTAGGTCAGTTTTGGATTTATTTTGTTGTTTTGGTTTCTTTCTCATCAGGCGCTTCATAATTCTTTTCTTTTATGTAGGTCAGACATTCTGGAGTTCTCTTTCTTTTTTTGTAGGAATGCTGACCTTTGGCGACTTGGACGGTTGCAGATACTATATGAGGGGGGGGTTTTGTTTCCAATTAAGTTAGACGTTCTTATGTTTCTTTTTTTTAGGTTATTTGACTCCAAATGAACCTGAACTTAGATAATTTTGGTTGCAATAGGTGGTTTTAATAAGGAGGGAATTTTCATAATGTATTTGTATTTTGTTTATTTTTTATTTTTTATTTAATTTAATAAAGTAAAATTAGATTTATGTAAATAAAACTGTAATACAAATAGTAAATTCAGTGACCAAATCGTATAAATTTCGTGATAAAATCAGTGATCAAATCATGTAAATTTCATATGAATCCCGTGCAAATTCCGTATCCAAACCATATTTTTAGTGATACGGATTTGTGCATTTTCCGTATCCTATTATGATACGTTATTTCTAAGGAAAAAAATCGTATAAAAACTTTATAAAAAATGAACGTATCCAATTTTTTTATAGGGATTAGCAATACATATATTGATAAGGGGTTAGGAAGATCAATAAAGTTTCTCCATCCTCAGATTTGGATCATAAACCCAGATAACGTTTTATTTGAAAATTGAGACTATTTCTAAAGATGATTAGCTGATTTGGTAAATTTTTTTTGCTCAAATCACCAAACGAAAATAAAATACTATTGTGGACAAAATCGGCATCACATGACCAATTAATTTTTTCTTGCCCGATCGATGATGAGAAAAAACTATTTATTTATTTACCCCAAATTTTGCTTACAACAATGATAAAATTTTGCTAGTATTTAAAATTTCTTTAAAATACGGCATAAACAAAAAAAGAAATAAACCACCTAAAGTCTTAAACTCTTAGAACAACATGAAATCATCATCTATACCATTAGCCGACAACTGTCAAGTCGACAAATAAGCCGAAACCCAGCAATGGGGAATCTTAAAATCCCATCAGTCGGTATAATATGATCATACAACGAAATCGGAATTAGTGAGTTGTCTTATATTTTTTTAGTAAAGTCCTTAATTATATATAGTTCAGCGCATATCTGTGTTATTGATCGATGCACAGCTATATACTTTGCTCATGATGCGACTGATACGTTGTTGATTTATTACGTAACATGACTAGAATTAATTAATGGCCTAAATGATATATACGTTGGCATCCCGTACATGAATTATAAAAAAGGATCTGATTAAAATACTTAATTCGAGCTTCGGTGATGTTTAATTAAAGTGGTACATTTTGCGCAGTCGGTACTGATGATGAGTAAAACGGGTCACTGTAGCGAATAATTAATAAAAGGTATAGTTGTCATCACGAAAATGAATAGGAATTAAGGAATTTAATATTTAAGCTTTAAATAGCTAAACTATTAAAATGACACGTTAAAATAATTAATAAAAATAATAAAACGCAAGCGAACGCTCAAATTATTACGTTATTATAGTGCAACAGTTTGTTACAATTTATTTAGTCCAAAATTCTAGAATATTTGTTTTGAAATTTGAAAAGAAATATTTTATACATGGCAATATGACACGTTGTGTATCGTGAAATTTGATAACGGTTCCAGGAACGACTAATTTTTTTGTTATTATTAACCGTGTAAGAAAATTAGAGTATTAATAATTCCAAATGCATTAAGGTCATATGGAACATTATTAATAAATCCACTACGAAATGATCACACCGCAAGTCGTATTAAAGATGGCGGCCATTTGGCAATTTTGACATGACGCCTGAATGACCTTCAGGCTAAATTTATGGATTACAAATTTATATTATCACGTGATATAATTTTTATTCTCGAATATCAGATATCAGATATCGAAATTGCATAAATAATTTTGCCCAGAATTGTGATGTAATTTATAAATGACTAGATAGATCATTTGTAAATGACCAAATGGCACGTGACCAGTCATTCAACCACCCATCAGAGACCCGGGAATATTCCGATATCAAATCATAAATTTTTAACAGCAAAAATTTCCGATATAAATTTTACTAATTATAGTAAGAAATTTGCGTTTATTTATCGCTATTTTGGTTATTAAAATACATCATAGATATATATATATATATATAAGAAATCTAAGTGATTCCGGACTTAAGTTTTGTCTATCGTCATCTAAAATTTTATTATATGCAGAAAAACTTCTTTCTACCGCACAGGAAAGAGATTGGTAACCATATATAATTTCGTGCTATTTTTTCTAAAAGAGGAAGTTGTAATGAAACTTTATCTCAAAATTCATTTAATTCAGAAAATTCTATAAGATTTAAATTTATATTGACATAAATTGACCATTCTTGAATAAGAAATGTTGATGGATTAGCCAGTTCTCTAATAATTTTATAGGAGTAGATATCTCGATTAGCAGTTGTTAATGATAAAAATCGTGGGTCAAAAACTTGAACAGCTCTAAATAAAGAACGTGCAGGATGTTGTAATACATGGTCTTCAAGTCTTTTGTAAGCTGCTTGTTGAAATACTGGACAAAATGCTGTTAAAGGAGAATTAAATTTTTGTAATACTAAATCCATAGTTGATCCAACATTAGTCATAGTTTTTCCCATAGTTATTCGTGCTTCAAGCTGTTGTAATCTTTGTTCAATAAATGGAAACATTGGTTTATTTTCTTGTTGAAAAAAATCAAGATCAGCTACAAATTGCTATGAATTTTCCTGAATAAATGTTAAATATATTTCAATACGCCCATTGATTTGTTGGTCTGTAAAAGCTGAATTTATCTTTTCAATTATTGGCATTGAATTTACTTTGCCTTCTTCATTATAAAATCCACGAATATAATCCAAATTTTGATATACATGAAATGCCATACGAAACCAAGTATTCCATCTTGTTGTTATTAGATAAAGGTATATTTTTTGGATTAGATACTCCTTGACGTTGAAGATATGATATGTAACGTACTTTTCGACTTCTACTTTAGACAAAAGTTTGTTTGATATTTGCAAGTAATTGATGCACAACTTGAAAATAATTAATTGACACCCACGCCTCTCTAAGAAATACATCACGATAGCATTTCTTCATATAGGTCGCAGAGTCTGATGCAATTAGTTGTGGTAGATCAAAAGAAATTCCCCATTGAACCAAAGTTTGAATTAAAAGTTGTCCAATTGTACAATTGTTAACATTTTCTAAATAATCAACATGAACTAATTTTGTTACACCATTATAGCTAAATATTAACTACATTTCGTGCTTTACTATCTGTAGTTTCATCTATAATAATTAAAACTTGTCTGCCACGAAAATATTCTGAGTTGATTAACATGATCTTCAAATAATTTTGGTAAATAATCACGACGCAAAGTATCTGATTTTGGAATAAAGCCTCCTTCATTACAATTTTCACGCAACCAATTTTTGAAGTTTATCTATTTTTTCTAATGGAATATCAGCTGTTACAAATGCATCTACTAAATTATTTACAGCAGTTTTTTTTTAATTTCAGATGCATTAAGGATAGTTTGAATAGTTGGTTGTCTTTTTTTTATTTGTTGTTCTTTTTTCTCATTTTTATTACGAATATGTGTTTTAGAACCTATAAGAGCAGTAATTGTATTTTTTGTTTGAAAATTAATACTATGATCACAAAAACGGCACATAAGTTTTCCATTGTCCGCAAACAAGTCTTCAGAAAATTCTCGTGCGCGCGAAGGAACAGTAACCGTTGAAGTTGGAGGAATTTTGATTAAAAATTTTTTTAAGGGATGAAAATGAAATTTAAATACGCTAATCCACATCTATGATTGGTTAATTATCACGTGTTGGAATAAAATCATTAAAATTTATGAAAATTCCATTTTATTCCATAATACAGTGGTTTCCAACACTTCTTTCCGTTTTTAATTCTTGGAATCAACGGAAGGAAAAATTTATTTTTTCAAACCGCCAAGGCGTTGCCTATCTCACAAAACTTTCAGGCAAATGGACATAAACACGTGCTCTTACAGGGCAACAGATATATGTATCGGAAATGATACGCTCATTTTATGTTCGTACACGTCAGAAAAAATTAAAACGTTTCTATCATAGTTGCAGACGAGTTTTCAACTGTAACCGTAACCAACCCGCGATCACTCCAGAGGACAAAATTCATCGAGCAAGACAACATCGATTCTTGTTCTTAGAATCGCAAATCATCAATAAACCGATCAAACATCTAAAATATAAGAAAACAAAAACAATTCATGACGAAAAAGACTACAATTTTCGTATCCCGATTCTCACTGTATCCAAAAAGACAGTGGTTTCACCTATGGATGTTTCTACTACTAAATCACCATCACCCCCCTGCACTTATCTTCACATGATCGAATTCTCCTGTGGAGGACTCTAGTAAACTTGTAGATATTGATATACCTGCAGATCTTTTGCCCTTCGTACCCTATGGGCCTTTATATTCAACGGATACAAAACTTCGATTCAACAAAAAGAAAAACGAAGAAAGAATTCCTTTAAAGGTCGGAAGCCAGAAATGGTTTAAGGAATTAATAAAAATTAAACAAGCACACGACCACAAAATCGACAAAGAAAAACAATTACGCGAAGATACCGAGGAAGCGACTTTCCTTGGTACATCTTTATCTAGATTAGAACATCGTAAAGATCTATTATACGATCTTACTACACTCCCCGGTAAAAAGTATCCGACCACCCTGTCGATCATTGCCGATCATTTCCATTAAAATTAAAATTACGCCAATACTAACTATGCAAATATTAACAAATTTTTTTTTCCCATGTAGCTAATACCTTCGGCTACCCAAAAATAAAAAAAAAAATATTTTGTAAAAATGCCCAAAAAGCACGAACTTACTGAATTTGAAAGAGGAGAGATTATTGGTCTATGGAAAGGAGGTCATAGTGAACGAAACATTAGTGAAATACTTGACTTCCCAAAAACAACTATCCATGACACTATAACGGACTACAAAAATTCAGAAAAAATTTCAGCTGCTTCACGTTCAGGTAGGCCACCAAAACTTGCAGAAAGAGATATAAGGCGTATTGTAAGAATCGTTAAGGAAGATAGACAACAATCTTTGGATGAAATAACAAAAAAATTTAATGATGGTTTACCAAATCCAGTATGTAATAGTACTATAAAGCATATTTTACATTCTGAAGGGTATTTTGGTAGGGCAGGAAAAAGAAAACCATTTGTTTCTGAGGCTAATCGTAAAAAAAGGTTAGATTGGTGCCGTGAAAGAAAAGAATGGGATACTGAATGGGATTTCATCATATGGAGTGATGAATCTCGCTTCTTATTATTTCAGAATGATGCACACCACTGGGTCTGGCGTAAACCACATGAAAAATATGATGTTAATTGCTTGATTCCGACTGTAAAATCTGGAAATCAAGGAGTTATGGTATGGGGGTGTTTCGCAAAAAATCAACTTGGTCCTTTAATTCAAGTTTCTGGAAGTATTACAGGTTTAGTATATATTAACATATTAGAAAATCATCTTCTACCCTTTTATAATAATTTAGAAAACAATTTGCAATATTTTTTTCAAGATGACAATGCGCCAGTCCATAGAGCAAGAACAGTTTCACAATGGAAAGAGGATAATTCAGTATCAACTATTCCGTGGCCTGCACAGAGCCCAGATCTCAATCCGATTGAATATTTATGGGATGTTTTGGAAAGAAAAGTTCGGGCACATAAACCTCATCCAAAAAATATTAGAGAATTAATGGTAGTTTTGGAAGAGAAATGGAATAACATTGAGCCCGAAATTTTAATTAATTTGGTTGATAGCATGCAAAGAAGGGTTCATGCTGTTTTAGATAGCCATGGTAACCCAACTAGATATTAATAAAAAATTTGAGTTTTTCTGAATAAAATGATATAAATTTTTTATAATGTTTATAAATAAATTGTTGAGAAATTAACCGTCAAAATATGTGTTTTAATTTCGCAAAGTTAAAGTGGTCGGATACTTTTTACCGGGGAGTGTACATTCACCGATAGTTATCACAACTGATCGACGCAAAAAAAATAAAAGCAAGAATTCCATCGACACTTGTTAAGCTGGATCGAGAATTTACTAACTTCCAACTTTTTTATTCCAAAGTAACTACTCCTTCATCACACCAATACTCTCGGAAGGGTTGGACTTCCGATGAAACTAAAGCTCTAGAGTTACGCCCACACAAAAGACGCGTTAACACAGGAAACTTCTCCGGTTCTTTTGAATTACAACATACTGATAAAAAACTCAGACCGATGGTCAAGTCCGATACTGGATACGACGCTCCCGGTCCTTCTACACACTAAAATACACCTCCCGACACGCCTAACGACTGTTACCCTGACGACTCCCAGTTGTTTAGACATCGTGTCTTTTTATTTCGTCCTTTTTTACCCCCGTAATGAGTCAAGTAATCTTCACTTGTAATTTTTATCTACATCTTATAGGAAACCCTTTTAAAATCAAACAATTTTGAATAGTGTGAACCACTCCACCTATGACAATATTTACAGGTGGCGGCTTACAAATGTAGGTCGAAAGAAAATACGGATCCTCTTTTTTAGTTGATTGATGTTTGTATTTTCTTTATTTCTTTCCGGTTGGCGAGTGGGCTCTGGGGAAGGTCGTGGGCTGTACCCGTTGTCCATTTTTCTTCAAGGTCAGATGTCACTGTGGCGGTTTGTTTGTTAGTGATAGAATTACTTTCGGCTCAATTTATTTGTTGTCCTTGTAATTTGTACTTCAAATTGGTTCGTCTGAAACATAAAAATAAAAACAAAAAATAAAAAAATATTCCATAATACAGCAAAAATTCCGATTTATTCATTTATTATAAAAATGGAATTTTCCCGGGTCTCTGCCACCCATCACTGCGTTAAGGTACTGTAATAAGTAGTAAAAATCATTTAAAAATCCTTGTTTTATTAAATAAAATCTTTCTTTTAGAAAATAACTTTGATTAAGAGTGTTATTACATAAGTATTTTAGATATATTTAGCATTAGGGAAAAGAAAGTGCAAGGGCGGAAGGAAGGAAATAATTCGAAGAATTTGTGTATGACCGTACCAGAGATAGTCCTATCTTCGCTCCGGGCAGTCATTTTATTATATTTGTTTAACATCGTTCTGCTTCTAATACTAAAATCCTTTATGGTACTTCACATTGGCCTAAAAAGTTACTCGTATACTTCGCTAAACATAATTTAGGCCAGAATTATAAAATTTGGACAAAATCATTACAAATCACATGACATGTATATTGCTCTGGCCGAAATGATGATAATTCCGGTCATGTTTTTTGTCCCCTATGGTATGTTAAGCAAAGAATTGGCTTGGAGCGGCCTAACGAGCGAGAATTTGAAAGTATAATTATTGTAGCGCATATTACAAAAATATAGTTTCGACTCTATCAACTATGAAAGAAAAGGAAATTTTTTACCTCAAAATACTTGATAGAAGTTCTGTTTAACTCTATTTGATATTTTTTTAAAGAAATCCTGGTGCCTCATTTCGAACACATTAAGAAAATTCTCATTCAAGATTTTTCATTCGTTATACATAATTTTAGTCATTTAAAAAGCTTCCTATAAAAATTATTTACACTACCCGGACAAAAGTAGTGGACCTTACGTTTTGACTAAATTTTCAGAAACGTACATAAATAATTCAGGTTAAAAATTTTAGCTAAACAATGATGTAATTATTATCCTATTTATAAACAAACATCAAAAATATGATCGACAAAATAGGAATCTTGTACTACTTTAAACATGTATGATTTAACAGTGGCTGAACGCAACCAAATCATTGGTCTTTTTAAGGGTGGCGCCACAAAAGCGCATATTATTAAAACACTTGGCTTTTCAAAAACAACAGTTCTCCGAACTATTCAGACTTTTTGTGAAGGAAAGAGTCTTAAAACCCAGCCACAAAGTGGCCGCCCAAGACTTTTAAATTGTGAACACCAAAAAACACAAAAAAATTGTTAAAGCTGATAATCATCAATCAGCTGAACAAATAAAAAACAAGTTTCAAGAGAAAACTGAAATGCAAGTTTCTACTAAGACTATAACAAGAAATTTGCATGAACTTAATATTTTTTCTCGTATTCCAGCTTGCAAACCTCTTCTTAATAATAAACAAAGGGAAAACCGTTTAAACTGATGTATTGAAAGAAAAAACTGGTCCATTAGAAAATGGAAGTCAGTAATTTGGAGTGATGAAAGCCGTTTTACAATATTCAAAAATGACGGTCCAGGTCGTGTTTGGAGAACTCCTGGAACAAGATTTAATATTAAAAATATGGTTCCTTCAATAAAACATGGTGGTGGAGACGTGATGATGTGGGGTTGTTTTTCAGGGAAAGGTTTGGGTCCGCTGGTAAAGGTTGATGGAAAAATGAACTATCGTGACTATATTCAAATACTTGAGTCACATTTGCTCCCATTAATTAATAATAATTTTAATGGAAGGGGTTTGATAACGCCCCTGTTCACACCGCTAAAAACGTATAGAAACAAAAAAAATCAAAAATTTTGGAAAATTGGCCAAGTCAATTACCCGACTTGAACCCAATAGAACATTTGTGGTCAGAGCTGAAAAGGGCATTAGAAAACGTCCCAAACCTGCAAAAAATGTGAAGGAATTGGAGCGTGCTTTACATGAAGAATGGAACCAAATTCCTAATAATACTTTATTAAATTTAATTGAAAGTATGCCACGCCGAATTGAGGCATGCATTAAGAATAACGGCTGACCAACTAA